TAGCTATATATATTGTAGGTTTACAACCTACCAGGACGCGCGCCGAGTTGGACTCGTCGACGGTCCTGTATATGGAACAGATATTTTACGAGTATCACCCGTTAATATAAATATAATTTCAATAAATACAACCCTCAATTAATATAACATACAATTAAGTTTCCTATCATTCGGTTAACGGGTGATACCCCTCATTGACTCATTAAGAGCACTAATTTCGACCACTTTCCCGGTCGAGCCATACCAAATCAAACTAATTGACCCACGTGTATAGCCAATGTCCTGGCGGTGCTGAGCCGATGTAAAACTCTTCTGTAAACTCTTTTGTCTCTTGTAACTTGTTTATATTTTATATTTTAGTTATACTGTGTACTGTGTACAATAGTTATAGCGTATAGTGTGTGTAGTGTGTAGTGGTTATTTTGTTGTGACGTGTCACTTTATACTTTGCTACCAACGTCAGCCTTGACTTACCATTTATTGTAATTGGTACAGCATATATCAAAACTAAAACACTGTTTTCGATCTGACGGGTGATGGGCTCTCTCTGATGGGACACAGTTCTAGGGGGTACCCGGGGTACGAGTTAACGAATAGTGTTCGTGTCCTTCCACAATCCCCTCTCATTGTGTTTTTGACGGAGGAGAAGCCTAGTTCATCCGTCTGCATCGCTTAATCGAGTTGAAAATTTAGCCAATAACAAACTAAATTACATGTTAGACTGATAGCAGGTGTAGAGTTTATAACATACAAATTCTAAATTTTTGACGGCTGACGATGGTAAGTCGCTACGTTTAATTCGGGACTTTTATAGTCTTAAGTCTTGGAGCTCAAAATGTCTCGTGCTGTGGGCCGTATAAACGGCGCACACCACCGCCCCGCCTTACTTCACGGTTGCGGAGCGGAGCTGGTGCCGTTTGTCTCGGCCTCAAGTGGCGAGTGCTTGCCCATCGAATACACGATTGAAACACTAATTATTTATTGGAATTCTACAGTTTCCAAAACGAAGTACGAAGATATATTAACTTTGAGCTTTGTTTTGGCGACTGCTTCATCTATGGGCGAGTAGGTATTTGTTGTTTAGCAGTGTTGAATATTGGAGCAATTATATAATGTATATCTCCATCATAATATAGGCTAGTGTAAAGATATATAATCAAGAATACAAACAAACGCGAACGGTATTAGTAACTCGCTAGATTATAGATGTTATTTAAACACATATGTTTACGTCAATTATTACTAAAATTAATATTCTTTTTGCTTTAATATAATTACATTGTACATGTCACATGGATTAATGGATTAGTTGAATGAAACGTGTGCTACAAATGTCTACGCCTCACGCAGAACTGCGTACCGCTCAGTACTAATTCATGCTTGAGCGGTACTGCTGTTCACAGTGGCGCGCACTTAATTTAATCACAATAAATAACGAGCGCGCGGTTTTTTGGAATCTCTCCATTATTATATTAATTAGATCGCAGTGCTCACGGCCTGTACTGCGTGAACGACAGAAATATCTTTTAAATTATTTTGCTTCTGAAATTTTGGCTCTAGTAATTAAGAAATGTGACATGTAATTGTAAGTTAACAATTAAATAGATCCTGTGCGCGGCGCCTACAGCTGACCTACGAATTTCTGAACAATTTTAAATTGTGGCTGTGTGCGCGGCGTACTGTATATGTGTTTGAAATTGAAATTTGAATTTATTTATGAATATAACATTATGTATTGATTATTTGTGGTAAATAAAAATTTTTCTTTCCTAAAATTTTTCTTTCCTAATATTTGTTCCATATATTCCGTCGACGAGTCCAACTCGGCGCGCGTCCTGGTAGGTTGTAAACCTACAATCATTCGGCTGAGTCGACCGAGGAGATCGCATAGATCCATTGGATCCTTATCTACTTCCTAGACTAGGTGACACTGGGATTCGAACCCCGAACCTTCTGTGCAGAAGGCGGATGCTCTGTATATCATTAGTGGTATTGTAATACTAGCCTGTTGTCATTTACTACCATGGTGGGTTAGATTCTGGAGGCAGTGAAATACTGTATTATCTATAATCTACAATAAATAAAGTGGATGCTTCATGAATCGCTTATTTTGAGTTTGTAAGGATGTAATTCTATTTTCAGAGTTCAGTCGTATTTGTATCACGTCGTGACCCCCACTGTCATTTCACCCAGGGGCGAAAGCCATGATACAGCAGCACACTCGTGCCTTGGCAACCTATGTGGTCAACAGTTTCCATCCCACGCTAATGATGATGGCAATTATCGAAGGAAATAAGTAAAACAAAATTTTAAGTAAAACAAAATTTAAATTTTATTGCCATTACAATGAATAATAATATCATAATAAATATAAGTAGACATCCGATAATAAACTTGTTACATCCCGTACAACCCAAGATGTCAGCCGACGCGACTTACAAAAATAAAGAAAGCTAGCATGTTCATTGTTGATAGTTTTTCTAACGAGCATACTGAGGCTGTACGGAAATAGCTTTAATGTTTAATTCTACGTCATATTAAAAACATTACATCATTTTTGCTAGATACAAAAATAAATTTTAAAATAAATAACTCTTTTGCTGCTAAGGCGCGGCACCGCGCTGGGTCCACATGTTATACAGCGTGTAGCAACACAGCGCTGAAAATATAAGATGATTGAGCTATAACGTATAAGCGGTGCGCCGCGCCTAAACCTAAAACCATAAACTTTAAATTGTAAATATTGTTAAGATATTTAAACGAGTTTTGCGAAATAATATGACATGCTGACTTCGTAGGATATTACAATTATACCCGTGCCAGTTCCAAATGTGAGTCAGCGCTTAAACCAAAAGCAGTTGGCAAAAGGAGCCAGTTGCCTGCAAGAGCTTTACTAGCACCCGATTTACCACTTTTGGAGCACAAACTCAAACCTAAAACCGGCCAAGCACAAAAGTATGTTATCGCCACGATTGGGTGGATTGATTCCCAAAATATTTATCAGCACGCGGCACTAATAATATGAAGTTCATTATCGAATTTTAGATATGCCATGGATCGTTTAACACATATATAAAAGGTTATTAAAGAATAATTAATGTTTGGTTGTTGGTATAAATCGATATTAATCAATTATTTAAAATAGTATTTGTGTTTGTTATTATTAACTATTGAGTTACGTTTGATTTAAATATTAAAACACTACTACAATACATTTCACAAAACAAAACGACAAGTAAAGAGCTAAAAATATTATGCAAGATACATTATAATCAGGGGTCTAATTGTATAATGAAGGATGTAGTGCGCTGTGTGAGCTCTACCCCAAGTCGTTTAATTACTGGCCGATACGTGTTGGGGTCTCAGAATTAAATTGACTTTAATGCGGCCGGTTTGGACTTTTGCAATTCAACTGTGATAATGAAGTCCCGGCCGTAGGCACAGGTTACACTAGTATACGCACAATATCACAATTCACAATGACCCTAGATATAAAATGAAACCTTCAAACTTTATTCATCGTGTTCATGCTGTTTCTATTTACAACATCTTTATACGAATCTTGTACGAATTTGCCTGCATAATGGTCAATTTAATTTATATATTTTTGTAAATAGTTAATTTGACGAAGGGAATACGTCTATTTTACCCTGAGTTATGTTTTAGTTCAATCTTGACACAATTTTAAAATTATAATTTAATTATTTTATATATATGTATTGTCCATAACTAGGGTGGCCTGCTAACAGAACCATGATCTGCCTTGATTCATCCTTCAGCACAGAGAAAAGCTCCTTTTTTTATACATTATGATTACAGAGGATCTGATATTTAGATATATATTGCTGTGCTGTAAAAATTGACTTTATTTATTTATTTATTTATTTATTTTCCTGATGAGAAAGAGAAAAAAGGTAAGTTCATATGCAACTTGAGGATAGGTTCTGTCAATCCGGTTTTCCTATTACTGATCCATTCAAGGGTTGCTGAAACTTTTTTGGTAGCTCTGCACGGCAAGAGATAGCCTGTCAATTCTTCAGTCGGAGGTCAAGATTTACAGTTTATACTGTAGATCAGATTGATATTTTGCTTGGTTTTGGCATCTAAGTTTTAAAAGCTGCACCATTCTCCACTGTACCTCATGGATAAGCATGCTACCGGAAAATTGATTTCTGTATTAAAGTCTAGCACTTGTGGCAGATGACTTTGAAAGCTTGGCTAACAACCCTACCTTTTAACGATATTTTTATTCCCTGTACTCAATACTCATAGCCAAAATTCCTACCAACTTGATTCAGCAAATCCCGAATTTTTCAATCCTGCTTGAGCTGCAGATCCCAAATTTTCCTCAAAAATTTGATTCCTCAAAAATTTTCTGGTAAATCAACAACAACAAAAATCTTGTTCCCTGGCGCACTAGCATATCATTTTTGAAAGGTTAGCTAACAACTGTCTTCAATGACAAACTTACCACAATTCTCTGCATTTAATTAACTACCTATATTCGACATAATTCTGGTGATCTAAATGATTTGGGATCGGAAATATGGGATTTTTTCCGAAAACCACTGCATTTCGTACCCCAAATTAAATCATGGTATTTGAGGATTTTTTCATTTCTTTATTTTACATTATAAATGAAACAGTCAATTTCTTCTTGATCTTCTTGATATTCTGGTTTTCGATGTTTATAGAATTTATTTATTCTATGTTAATTTATAAAATCAACTAGTGTTCATTTGTTAGATAAATAATATTTATAACTTAATACATTGGTAGTAAATCGACAAAGTCATAATTAAAGAAAATATGTGAAAAATAATTTGGGGAAAATAATGATGGTGGCCTACATTTTGGTAGTCCGACTTTCGAACCTGGCCTTTTAAATATGTCTTGTAAGGTACATCACATCTTTTGTTCGAGCAACAGTGAAATAAATCGTCACATTTTGAAAATATTATTTACCTAATATATAATCTGTTATTTACTTAATCTCTTCTAGTCATACAGGAATGACAATGCTTGGAAGGAAACACATCTAATGCATTTTCGCTAAAAAGAACTGTCAGTCCCATTGCTATGATTTCGGTGAGTACATATATCAGTTAACTTTTATTCTTTCAGTGACTGTGTTCTCCTCAACATTCGCTATTTGAAACTTAATTTTATCAAAATTCAGATTACAACTGAAGTTATTTTGTTTTAAAGTTTTTTCTTTTTGGGAATAGAATTTTAAGTACCTCAATCGTGTCTTGTGCCATCCTCAGTGACCTTGTGAGATGGTCATTCAAGAAAAATTCAGTCAAAACAGTGAAATTTGGGTCGCGGAAAGCTGAAATTCGAATATGTCCTACCGGTAGGACATATTCAACATTTTCATTGCATCAAAGTTTTCTCTAGGTATACTGCTTCCAGTACCTTGATAGCGACTTGTGTCACTCTCACCGACCACACTGAATGTCACTGGTCAAAATTTCAATAAAACCCGCTTAATTTCGGTCAATAGGACAGAAGAATCAGATATCAGCTTTCCGCCACCCAAATTTCATTGTTTTGATTGAAACGGTAAGAGTTATGGGACTGGTTTTTTCGGTATAGTTTAGACAAAACTTTGACGAAGCCAATAAGCAAAGCTTTTCTAAATCAGCCGGTGGTAAGTGGTTTAATTGATGGTTTTGTACCCCAAATGTGGCACTAAAATGTCTCACTTTTTCTCACACTCTCTCTCTCTCACACACCATCTTTCCCCATTTACAGCTCCCCTAATTACAGCTCTGGTATGTAATTGGGCAGTAGAGCCAGGAGCCGCAAGATTGCATATTAAGTATCACTATCTGATACGTGTTGGGCGTAAATTGACTATAATACTGCCGGTAAATTGATTTTAATGCGGCCGGTTTCGACTGGGCGAGTTCATGCTTTTGCACCGTTTATACTTTTGCAATTCAACTGCGATAGTGAAGTCCCGGCCGAAGTCACAGGTTACACTAGTTCAGAATAATAGTAGTTTCACAGCGTGTATTTACTCTGCACGACAGTTTATTGTTGTTTGCCAGTTGTGCAAGTTGCCTGGGTGGTAAGTTACCATGTAACTAACATTCACAATACAGCAATATATTCATAATTATGTCTTATATGGAACATGGTAGCTGATGTTTTGTATAAAATATGTCAACAAGGATCTACAAAGTGTAGTGTCACACTAAGCTATGTAAAGTGATCACCAATTCTCACGACACTATTCTAAAGTACTTGACAGATAACATCATTTCAGCCGGATCAACTACGTGGTCTCAATGAAGCAGAGTATGTGGAGATCATCAGGTACATTATTGCAGAGTACGACGAGCAGAACGCCTCCTTCAACAAACTCTCATCCGATCATCAGAACCTTCATTCACTCTACGAGGTTCATTTTTATTATAACTTTTTAGTCTTTACTATTGTGAGTTTGTGGTTACTCCTCCCTGCGAAACTAAGCAGATTGATAAATAATCTACACTTTATTTTGGCTGCCATGTTTTAATCTACTGAAATACAATTCTTTTATTTAGGCGAAGTCTAGAAATTGTGTTATTGGCTTAAAATTTGAACGGATTTTGTTAAGCGGGAAAATTTGATACATATTATGATTCAATTGAATGATATGATTAACAAATTATTTCTAGGATCAGATGAGCGCAATTAAAGAAACCCTGTCCCAGAAGTTAAACGCGCCCCACAACATTTCTAGCAGCAGTAAGTCTGGGAGTTCCTTTGTTTTGTTGTAAGCTAATTACCACTCTGTCACTTGTACGTAACGTGCCTCCTGATAACAATTAGTTGCCATGGTTACCATCAGCCTCTCGTGTCCCTGGGGTTTTAAAAGATAAAACAAATATCTAAGAGAATTACTGGGAGCTCTAATATCCGATACAATATAGTTCTCATGGGTCCGTCACTTCTATATATAAGAGCTTATATAATCCGAACTTTGGCTGCATGTTTATTGGTACTTATATTTACTGATTAGTCCTCGTGCTACGTTACTTGTTGAACTCTCTACTATTTTCTTTCATCCTGGAAAAGGTTTATTTTGTCTGATCTTGACAAGGAGCTTCTGACAGAATACAAGCAATAACTTTGACGGTTTTTGATGACGCAAGCAGAATCTGATGGCTCATTGATTAACTTTTTCAGTAAGTTTTGTCGGTAAATAATATGTTCCATTGTTTGATTCCGATCTAAAGTACTTTATTGGTCTCATATTACTTTGAGTTTGGTTGGCAGGGTAGTCGCGGAGTTTTATAACTCCATTAGTAACAACTTTAAATCGTTACTTGGGTTCCCCACTACAAAACCGTTACTTTATTTAGGGGTCATTTCCTTTGTTGCTCGCATTGTTATGTCCTCTAGAATTCCTGTTCTAAATAGAAGGTTTCACAAGTCTAGCAGATGTACGGGAGATCAAGGTTTGTTGCACGTGTTCCTTTTTTGGACTTGTCATGTTTACAAAAGACACCTGAGCCAAAAACTTAAATTTCACTTTTTCTGACATTAACATGCTGGAAATTAGGTTGATATTTTGTCAGGACTGTAAGTTTTAACTTTTATCGATGTCTTCTCAAAAGATAAAATTGCACCAGATTTAGTGCTGTTTTACAGCAGACTAAGTGTTTATACTTCACACTTTCTCACACTTTTCTCACACTTTTGCCTCGATTTATTATGTGGATGAAGACCTTTGCAAGGACAATATTATGCTTGTTGGGCCAAATAGGACATTATTTGTATTATTGGCTAAAAATTATATACTTATAATGTTTATTTTTCTTACGCTATGCTTGAAATGCTTGTTTAAGGATCATGCTTTATGTGAAAAATTTAAATAAGATAAATTATTTGAAAAATAAAAAATAAGTTCAAATTGATCAGATGGCAAAATCTGGCCTGGAATCTTGGGTAACACGACATCTGTCCGACAGCGACTCTTGTCCGACTCATGTTACCAGAAAAAAACAACATCTGTCCGAAATTGTGATCTAATTTCAATACGAAACATTTCCAATTAGAGACATGATCTGAGCTGAACTCTACCATTTTATTTTCATTTGATGTCGATAAATTGGACAATAGTTTAAATGTTATATAAATTAGTTCAGGACAGGGTCCTCCGAGCCTTGCTTGCGTCGAGGGGTAAACTGAAGATTGGTTGCCATTGTGGTCTGTGGATCTCAATGGATCAAATCAGCATTAGGACAGTGGGAGCAACGTCACAAGATTACCCGTGAGCCTGTGAAATACGAATGTGATCCGAAATTACAAATGTGATCTCCGATATTCGGACAGATGTCGCCAAAAACGACACCTGTCCGACAGCGAATCCTGTCCGAAACCGCTAATTCGTCTGCCGGACAGATATAGCCCAATCGGAATCTAGTTGTTTGGAATTCACTAAGTGGAAAAAAATGTAAACTATTTCTCGTATGTAGTTTTGAGCCTGACATAATTATGTTACTTGGTATTCCTCTGGGTAATGCCATAATGGGTATACTTGTTAAATAAACAGTCCCTACAGAAAAAATTTTATGTTTTTTTGTTATCTCTTTCAATTAATGTACCATTTGTCCTATTTCTCGATTTCCTCAAATTTTCGAGTCCAAGTCAATGACATTTTAATTCGAATCGTTTTGACCTATTAGAAGTTATTGTTGATGTTTGTTTTAATGAATTTAAACGATGGATTGGAAACAGGAGAGTTTTACTATAACCAAACTAATCCTTAAGAACTCTCCTGTAAGAATCAGTTCAATATAATGTGCATAATGAAAACTGTGTCCCCTTCCCCCTTACAGATGACACTGAAAATCAACCTGTATTATTTGTCTGGAGGGGATTATTTAAAACATATAAGTGATACGAAAAGTTTATTTTAGCAGGAGCTTTCAAAATACATGTGTACGTCTTCAGATTATTATTTGTTAATGTTTTAATGGATGACACTGAAAATCAACCTGTATTATTTGTTAATGTTTTAATAACACAGTTATTAGCTTAATTAGATTCCCTTACGCTGGGAGAAAAATAGAATATAAATATAATGCTCACAGTTCATTAGTTTAAACTGTCATTTGCCTACGCCATCTGTTTGTATTTACTTATTGAACCTATTGAATGTAGTAAACACGCAGTATTGACCAGGTGTTGGAGCATTCGAAGTTGTGGAGGAGGCTGTCAGAGAGCTTAGTTTGCAGCATGAAGAGGAAATCAAGTCCTTAATGAAGGTAATCTTGTTTGCTTAAAATGTTTATCACACGGCAAGATTTCTTGTCTTTCTTGCCGTGGCTAATGTTTGTAAATTTCATTCCCCCGGCCCACCCCCCCCCCCCCCCCCCCCCCCCATATTTTTAGTTGTGTTTTAGCGCGTACTTCAGTTTTGTATCATATCAGTTTTGTATCATATCAGTTTTGTATCATATCTTTATTGTTGTGTGTATGTCGAGTGTTTATTTATATCTGAATTCTGATGAAATCCGATACTATGTTATAATCGATAGTTTTGTTGTTGGTAACTTCTCTCTTTTTCAGGCCAAAGATGATGAAATTGAATCGATTACAAGTTCGCTCGTCTCCCATGACAACCGATATTTTATGGGTGCGTCTAGAGTTGTTTTGATTATGTTCAAATTTATGTAACGCGCGGTGATAGAATTTGTTGTTAAATAATCACTGCCAATCCTGAAAAACGCGCATATGCGCGCTCTTAGGCATTTGCCGCTTGATTTTCCCAATTTATATTTCCCGCAAAATATACTAATTATGCCTAATTTGTTGATCAAAACTTTTGAATTGATCAGTGGTTTTATTTGTGTTATTGTTTGCATAATTCCGCTATGATTAAACCCTCTATTGCAGAACAGATAAAAGAACTACAGAGTTGTATCACAGAGCTCACCGTCTACATGACACGTGACACACAGTTCATCCCTCCTGCGTCCACCTCTGAACTGTGTTCTGCCGCTAAACAGTTCATTGTTTCAAACCACGCCGTATCGATGGCTGAGATGGAGTCTAAACACATGTTGGAGATCAACCAGTTAAAGGTACGGAATACGAAATATCTATTTTAAGTTTGTAAAGACCTATAAATAACATGGGGGGCGCCCCTCCAGTAGTGAGTACGCCCGGGACTACAAGTTATCTAAAAATCGCATGTAGCAGAAACATGTAAAATATGAACTTGAAATGGTAAGTAAGAAACTCCTCACACTGCAGGTGGAACTGGAAGAGAAGATGAGAGATCTAGAAATGAGTCACGCTTATAGTAGAGGTGATCTTGAAGCAAAGTACGACCAGATCCTCCTAGACAAAGAGGACGGGTACCATGAGAAGATGAGGTGTCTGGACGAGCAGGTTTACTGTCTGGAGAGTGAGTTAACCATGTTGAAGGGAGACATGAGTAAAGCTGAGCTGAGTGCTGAACGAGAGGGGATCGAGAGTGAACTGAAGTCCTCTTCTAATGAGTTCTTTGTTCACGTCACAGAACACGCCTCTCCACCTCCTACTTTTACTGGTAGATTTTTAGCTTAATTCTTAGATTTTGTTTCCAAACTTCTTTTTTTTTCTGCGGTAAGTTTTGTGCATCAGTAAAGACCTTTCCATTATTTAACTTCCCACACGTATTCTCAATCTGCAACCTAATACTTAATCACCAACCTAATACTTAATCACCGTGTCTTTACCTCATGTCTCCACTCACCATTCCCTCTTCATTTTCACTAAATGCATCACAATTTTCTGACTAAGTTCTTTTCCACAGATTCCAACAGATATAGGGAAGAAAAACAAGAGGTTCTCACAACTCCTAAGAAAAACATCCCTAAGCGTACTGGTTTGTAAAATTAGTAATGGAATGCCAGTTGCACGGTCTGAATCTTGTACAGTCTTTTGAAACGAAGAAAAAAACAACATTTATTTCTCAATTAAGTTGGTCCATAACTAAGGTGCAATGACTTGAGCTTCTTAAAGTAGCTCTTGTCTTGCCTTTCCTGTCTTGTGATACAGTGATCTTTGCTCAGCAAGCTCGGGAGTACAAAGATCGCAGAGTATGAAGCAACCTAAAAAGTCGCAATCTTCTCCGGCTTCTAATCGCAGGAGTAGTTTCTCTACTTCTGGTACTTTTAGATTGTCTACTTAGACTACTTACTAGCACAGCATGACTTCCGCATCATTTATGCATGACTGAAAACTCTCTTCAAAAAAACCTCTCTACAAATCTTTTATTTCTCTCTACAAATCTTTTATTTCAACGGCAATAAGTTTCAAACCAGCCGGGAAAAAATTAAATACAATTTTCGAAGCTTCTACAATAATTTTTATGGTCAATATATTATATAACGTTTTGTTGCATATTCTCTAAATTCTAGAAAATATCTTGGTTAATTTTGAAGCAAAATTCAATCCCAGGTATTAGGCCACCCAAACAGCGAGCCGTTAAAAACAAACAAGCTGCTGAGAAGGAAAACCAAAATGAGATGAAACCGACCAAACTTAATCCGGTCAAAGAAAAGCTCGTTAACCAAGAAAAAGAGGGCAAGACACTGAAAGTTAAATCTGTTTGTGCTTGGAGTCAGACACTCGGTGTCCCTATGTTAAGTTCTACTTCGCAGACTGTGATTCGTAACTCAACGGATAACTGCTCCCAAACGGATGACATCACCGAGGTGAGGGAAAATGACAGGCAAATATTTGTAATTGGCAGATTCTGCGCTGTTCAGCAGAGCTCTGGACTCTGGATTATCAACCCTCCCAGGGTCAAACAGTCAGTTTAAACATTTAGCATGATCCGTGTACGTGAATTTTTTGATCCGATCCCTGTTGATTGTCTTTCTGTGATTTGAAGATCTATCTAAAATCAAAGTGTTTAATTATTGAATCGTCTAAATGTGCTAGTAACCTAAACCGTTGATACGGGAAGAAGCACAGTGATCTTCGTAGCCTGTGTTCACTAATCGAATTTGTACCAAAATTACCGCCTGCATATATCATAACATTAGGTTCAAGTCTTGGGTGAGATCCAAATCTGTTACTCATTGAGGATGATTAATTGCAGAAGCCGAGGAATCCCTGGTTACCATGGTGAATAAATTAACTCCTGATAAGAGGTTGGCGGGTTCATGATCCCCATTCTTTGTATGTATGTTTTACCTTTCGGTTGATAATGCCGCTTTGGAGTAAGTTGTTTGAAGGACACGATAAAAACGAGCCATTCAAATCCAAACAATCTGAGTCAGTTTCCAGTGATCGAGTTTCCGAGAGCAGTAAATCAGATAGTGGCCGAAATCCTCCGTCACCCTCCACTTCAAGACGCAGCAGAGACCTACCTCCGCTGAAAACCCCACCCACTGTCAAACGAAATGCTCACTCTAGCGGGGGGTTGAAGAAAAGTCCCTCTTTCAGAACCCCTTCCCCCTCCACTGCTGCCCCCTCTCAAAATGACACTATCTCCGAGATTCACCATACTCTTGAGAACAATAGACAAAAGAAGTCTTCCACTCCTAAAACTCCACAGACTCCCAAACCACCTTCCATTCACATAGATCCTGTGCGAACTGAGAAAGATAAGGAAGTCATACCGCTTGTTTTTGAAGATACGCCTGATAAGGGAGCTAAAGTGCATTTAGAACCCCTAAATTCCGAGTCTCAGGGGGATGAATCCTTCAGTGTTGACTGGAACCTGGACAATATCATGATCAAGTCTGTCAAGGAATTTGCTGAGTCAATAGACAAGTTTGAAGCGTGTCCATCCAACACGAGTCATCTGCTTAGCAATGCAGATACCATGGACTTGTTGGCCCCTTCAGAAACATCCGAGTATCAGGATCTACCTGACGACTGCCTCAATTCTGCTGATAACGCTAGAAATTTGCCTGATGATTCAAAGGCAGTGTGTAATGAACCAAAAATGAAAACTTCGAGGCGGTCGCTCAATGACTCCAACCCGAACCCCTGGATTCTTGTGCAGGTCAATATGTGTGTGATAACGCATCTTTGTGATTAATGCTGATTCCTTATCAAACCATACAACCCAGTTTTTTGTTCAAATAATTAAATAACTGATTATGATCAGAGGTATCGTATTTCAATCTTCCGCCGACCATTCTAGAATAACGTAAATTATGCTCTTCAGGGCAACAAGAAGATAAAGAAATCAAGTACTCAGGATGATGAAACTAAAAGAGAAGATTGTGAGTAAATTTTAGTGCTATACGTTAATAAATTTACACAACAAGGATTCATTGTTGCATGGACTTTATGTACCCATAATCTTCCTTGATCATTTAGTAATTACAACATGATAAAGGTCCTGGAAAATAAGGTGCCAAAGATGACGTGTGATGCACGTTTCTCAATTACCAGGAGTCGGTAACAGTGTTTAGAGGTCCCCATTTACCGTTACCTATTACACGGCCATTTGTACTCATCACCTACCTAAACGATCTTGTATTCTCTCTTCTACATGCTGCATTCCTGACCCTCACTATGTACTCCCTCACTAATTTACCAAATGCTCGACTTCCTGAACCTTGTTAATTCCCTTATGCTTGTAATGAGGCAGATATAAATTAATCTAAGTAAGATTATTTTGAGTGCAGGGTTAAATAGAAGTCTGAGGCTAATTCCCGGTAATTTGGCCCACTCACAGACCCCAGTAAAGCACTGTATACTGTATAGATGTTTGTTTGTGAAGAAGCAACTCCCGCTTTTTTGTCTCCTCCCTCTTTATCTCGCAAACTTGTTTACTTATCTCAGTAAAATTAAGTTGATATTAAGTTGACTTCTAATCTGTAGCGAACGCCATCTAACTTCATATAGATTCGTTTTACTACCTGTCGTGAACCTCCCCGCGTTGCTTTTATGACTTCTCTTTAATACTATGTTATAATTCAGCTAAGTTCAAAAACCAAGTGGACCAGATCGAGGATCTCTGGAATGATCTGATTCCCACAGACGACAGCTTAAATCTGGCTGATTGCAGTTTCGCTGCCATGGATTTTTCTATTCCTACTGGTAAGTGTGTCTCTTGTTAGATTCTCAATAATTTTTCCAACGGCGGAATATATTCTTCCAACGTGTTACAATTGCTTTACAAAATTACACAGATTGATGGATACTGTTATCAAACTAAACAAGTCAATAACTTCGATCTCTGTAACCAGATTGTATAACACAAGAACCTGTCGAGAACACAGAAATCCGTCATCTCGGTCTGGAGGACACAGAAATCCTCCCAGAAGAGTACATCACATCCCGGGAGAACAGTGAGAACTACCTGGACAACATCTCACAGGGATCAGATGAGGAGGAGGGATTACAGAACAGCAACGATCTCTTTGGAGTGTCCGGGGATGATATGATGAGGTCACGTGACACCACTGGGTCTCTGAACGAAGACTCACCACACAAGATGATGGGTCGGATACTGGCACAGCGGGTCACAGATGAAGTGCTGAGAGGTGAGATGGAGGAAGAAGGTGAAATGTCAACCTTCCAGGAGATGCAGATTCTGCTAGCAAATAAGGAACAGGTCAGTGCATCTCACTTTAAACAGGATTTTGAATCCCCAAACTCTACTCCCCAATGCTTTTAAAAGTGTACATGAAAAGGATTTCGCCGCAATTAATAACAAATTTATCGAATATTTAGCGACAGGTTCACTTAACTACAGTGTTTGTGCAGGAGATAGAAGCACAAGATTTCCAGATATTTGAGCTGAGAGAAGCGTTAGAGCGATCACGTGAGGATTCTAAGCGTCTGAACATGCTCAACATGATTCATATGGACACTGCAATCTGTAGAGACGTGTCTCAACCTACTGTAGCGGACATTGCATGTAGTCCTATCCCTCCTCACCTGGAGACAAGAGGGACACGTGACCATGGCAACCAGGAGATACCGTCACGTGACCTGGTGGAAGTTGGGGTGAACACCAGCTTTGTGTTTGAGGACGATATCAGTCAGCATCCTCACAAGGTTAGAGGATATTAGGAAGCAGTGAAAAGCAGTGAATTTGTTTTTATCGTATTATTTTATTTGTAACTTATCCATGTTATGTTGTTATCGATAGTCTTAAGATTTCTATCTGAATCACTCCTTTTTTCAGTCGAACATCACCTCGCTGCTAGCTCAATTAAATCTAGAAGACACCCGAACAGGTATGAAAATCGTTAATTTTCACTATTTTTCTGCATTGTCAACAATAACAACTTGTATTGCGAGGCAACAAATAATATGTAACAGATCAGACAAACAAAACTGTACCGACGGGACTATACAAATCGTGAGAGTAGTCCGGGCAAAGTGCAAGTAAAGTAAATTATCAAAATACCAATAATGACCAGATGCAGTATCGATTAGCATTAGCTACACAAAGCACGTGGCTTGTATCGGCTTGTATTGGCGGAAGTGCCCACAGTGGGCCTGTTCACCAGGGACCTTAACGTATTCCGATTAGAGGCCACTAGTAAACAGTTAATCGCTACACTTTGCTTCTGCCTCGCCTTTGCTTACACAATACCTTACAGAGGACTTCAAAACGTTTGATTTGATTTGAAATTTATCCTTACAGTTTTTTGAGGGAATAAATAAATTTTGTTGATGCTGGGGATCACCGTCAATTGCTATGGACCCCCTTTCATCCTCTAAGATGTTTGACAAGATTCTTTGTTGCTAGGTAACAAGACTCTGGGAGATGAAACACTAAACACTACTACTGGAGCACCCGACCTGTCATTGTTTGACCTGACCCTTACTACAGGCCTCTCTCACTCTGAGAATCCTGAGCAAGCTACACTCATCAACCATCTCTGCGATATCCAGGTACTTCGCCTCCTCAAATTGTGGGGCTCTTATTTGTTCAGCGGTGACCATTTTTGATAGCAATCTTGTACCCATAGATAGCATTTTATGATTCTACAAGATCTGTAACCTGGTCCTATTACAGTCGGAAGCGATGAAGATACAGGACAGATCAGACGAGTTGTGTCGGGATAACGAGAGATTACACAACCAAGTGGGAGAGCTGAGCAAGGAGCTGGAGGTGGAGCGAGGCAAGGTAAAGAATAAGATCAGAGAGATTATGGAGGAGAGGGAGAAAAACAAGAAACTTGAAACTCAGATACTTGGTAAGGTTATGGGAATATCGACATTTATTTGAACTCTGTCACTTTCATTTCAGGTGGCATGATCGTTTTATTAAAGACTAATGGTTCAAATTTGTGATGACTAATACAGTACAATATACAATATACATCGTCATCGTATTGCTATTCATGATCATTGGTATTTTTATCTATGCTCCTTTATACGATAAACTGATCTAATGTTTAGCTGATAAGGTAAGATAAAGGTACTCCGTGCCTCTCGATGTTGATTGGTAGAGAGGTCACGTGGTAATATTTCTCAACGTTGGTTGGCTCACTATAATAATGGTCCGGCGCTATCTTGCTAATGCTCCGTTATCTTGCTCACTATCTCTCTCTCGTTGCCGACTGGTTCTCAGGTCGGTCACATGACTGACCATTGCTCCAATCAGAGCATCCCTGGCGGTTCGGAAGAACCAATCAAAACAAGAGAAACTCCCGAGCCCTCGGTACGGAACAATTCATTGTCAGCCGTCAGGACAATTCATTGTCACGAATTCTTAGTCGTGAAATCGTGAACCGTGTCATTAAGATTAATTAAGGGAACAATCTACTTCAACTTGTTGAAAAAGATTGGAGTCTGTCCGGCCATTGAATAAGAGCTCGATGATCCTTAACTACAAATTAAGGCCTACTTCAATCTGCCCACTCTTTCCAAACACATTACAAAGTACAAACACATTTTAAACTTATTATAGCCAGGTTCCTCGATCATACGATTTTCTAATTTAGTTACAAGATGCAAATATGATGACTAAATTGTCGAGTGTAAAATCATACCCCCAGAAGGTGACAAATTGAATATCATGTGCTTTGAGTTTCACAATAAGTATAAACTATTACTGTCCTACAAAAGGAACTTGTAACTAGTTGCTATGGCAACTTTCCATTCTTAAGCTACTTTCCATTCTTAAGCCGACAAAACTTGTTAAAATTGTTTTTTAAAATTTTCAAAATGCCCAGCTTTAGTTATATTACAAGAATAAACAGGATAAGATTCTTCAAGCTGCTTAAGTAAGGCTTCAGTCTAAAAAAGTGGTTCTCAACTGAGATCTCTTGTTAGACTACCAATAATGGATAGGAAATTGAGCCCAGGTATTTTAGCTGTTCATTACCTGCCTTCAGGATTAGCTTCTAGGAGATTCTTGACTATGAAATCTAGTCGTCTGGATAATACTTTTATCATTGATCAGTGTCACAGAAGTATTTATTAGTGTACTGCTAAATTACAATATGTTTCCCAAATTCAGCGAACAATGAGCTACAAGTGAAAAAAGTGGAGCAACTGAATAAAAAGTTAGCTCAAGAAGAAACATTAAGGAAGAAAAGTCAACACACTATCAAAGGTTGAGCTGCATTGCTGAGTCACCTGCAAACCACAGCTCACACATGAGCGCATATACATTATAAAATAACCTTAAATCTAGCATCATTCATTATATGAAGCTCATCTTGCAAATTCACCAATTCAACTGCCACGTCACCACAACAGCACAGTGACAAGAAGCACCGCCCTGTTTAATGCCAGTTTTCTGGAGGAGTAACTTCTATTTAGGTCGGCACCATACCACTACCTTATTTGGTATTGTCAACCCTCACATTACCTTATTTGGTATTATCTCAGCTAATAAAGAGTTGCACAAGAAGAAGTTGGATGAAGTGTTCGCATTCCACCAAAGAGAACTTGATGAGTTAACTGCAAAGAAGGAGCTGACTGAAGAACAGGTGTGTACACTGTAGTCTGTACACTGTAGTCTGTACACTGTAGTCTGTACACTGTAGTCTGTACACTGTAGTCTGTACACTCAGTGTACATTGTACACTGTAGTCTGTACACTCAGTGTACATTGTACACTCAGTGTACATTGTACACTACTCAGTGTTTCTGTTTTTATACATTCTAGTATTCAATCTGCTACTCATTCATTTTGTGGTTATGCTGTTTTTGCCCGTGGAGTTATTTTTGTGCACAGCTCACCGGTCATGAAATGATTTTAGGACCATTTCTACTTAAGGTCGCTTGTCTAAATCAGAATTTAGGATCATCCCAATTTCTTTAACTTGACCTTGTTACGTATTTTCAGGCGAAAGGGCTAGCCAAGCTAATAAATGTAGAACCGGACAAGGAGCTTGTCTCGACTGATTGTCAAACCAGCTTGGTATTCTCAAAGTAAGTCGTTTTATTTACAGAATTTGATGATTTACATTGTGGACATTAAACATTTACTGATACCGCTGTGTACATTGCCTGTACTTTATTTAACTGTAATTCAAATCGAGCAGTCAACCCATTCGATCCTAATAATTATAAGAGGAAGTCTCGCCATGATCCTTTGAGTAGGCATTGCGTGTCGCTGTAACGATGCTAGTCTAGAGCTTATGTTGTACAAACTACCTCTATATCTAACCAAGTTACTGTGGCCTAGCTCACTCCTAGATTAATGGTGCTGCTAACGTGTGCTCCAGTGAGTGGGGGGGGGTACACTGTGCCACAGTAACAGTGAGTGTTGCCCCAGTAACAGTGAGTGTTGCCCCAGTAACAGTGAGTGTTGCCCCAGTAACAGTGAGTGTTCTGTCCAGACTGGCGCTCCATTCGTGTAGTTCTGTGCTACTTTTTATGGTATGTTGGTAGTTTTTGAGGAGAGCTATGTGGGGCCACCATAGAAGGCCAGATGTATAATACGTACTGTAGTTCTATAAGTACTCAAGTTCGACACAGATGATTTCTGGCGAACTTTTGTTCTCGAACTACAGTACGTGAATCTACGGTTTCAGTTTTGATAAGGAGATAAAGCCATTATTTGCTATTCGGTATAGTAGTTATTTTAAGTCATACATTGTGATGACGTTCTAGCTTCAGAGCAACTTACTCTACAATATCATAAATTAGCGCAGAACATGACTCCTGGCAATTGGCATTATGCCACGGTTCAAATCAGTGGTTTCATATCCAAGTCGATAAATATAAGTGAAAGTCAAGATGTTCAGGCTGAGAATGCCAGCTCATCATTCCAACTCAACTCTTCAACTCCTAGACCAGTTCCTTTATTAGTTGCTTTTCGAATTATTCAGTACTTTAAATACATTGTAATATGATAATTATGTTAAGTATCCTAAATTTAACTCACATTGATTTAGTTGTAATGGTTTGTTATATTGTATCTCACTATTTCCGCGGTCTTCACTTTATCGCCAGGAATCCCAAAAAACTACATTGAAACTGTTGGCATAATCGTGAAATGACGAAGAGTCGCTGTGTTGCCATGTATTTATAACAATTGCAATGCTAGCTGTTCACTTGTATCTACCTATCTATCCAATCTTGAAACTGAACTGATGTCGGTTAACCTGAGTTACTATAGCTAGAAAGTAGTAGAAAATTGCCCTTTTGCTCAGCCTAAATATTCATTTCCTGCTTTTCAAATAATTAGCATACTAAAGAGTGCACTGTGCAGCCATTGTAACAGTCGTCGCAAAACTTAAAATAAAAACCTTCCTTTTACATGCTTGTAACTCGTTTTAACTGACTTAATTGTTATGGACGTGTTAATCTGTTAATCATTAAAGTGGTGACTGCTGAGAAAGATTTTACAATTGTATCCTATAATGATTTCTGTAGATATTGGATATTGTTGCAGCCTCGCCCAGAACTATATGTCTGCTTGTGGTAATCAGTAGCAGTAAATCCTAGTGAGAGTTTTATCCTCTTCTACCCATTGGATAGTATCTGATTTCTTGTCTATTGTATGGTATCTACTAATTTTGACCATTACACCATTGTCGGTGAAAATTTATCGGACACTATTAGGATACATCGTTCTGCTTACAACCTCAGCACTGAGTCGTACGCTACCATTCTTCATTGTTAAAAGTCATGTCTTTTTTTCGCATTTACCCTTTTTCTCTCATTATTAGGATGCATCGTTCTGCTTATAACCTCAGCACTTAGTCGTAGGCTACCATTTTTCATTGTTAAAAGTCATGTCTTTTTTTCGCATTTACCCTTTTTTCTCATTATTAGGATACATCGTTCTGCTTATAACCTCAGCACTGAGTCGCACGCTACCATTTTTCATTGTTAAAAGTCATGTCTTTTTTTTCGCATTTACCCTTTTCTTCTCATTTATGCTCGGGTTTTGTTTTTAAAACCACTGCTCTATTCCTCGGTTACATTTAAAGTGCCCTGATTACTACTGGGTGGCCGATGTTTCTTAATATAATACTTTTACGATATAGCTTACTTTTATTGAACCTTAAATTGCTAATGAGAATTACTTGTCGCTGGATACCGAACAGTTAACACACAGCCACTTATTAAAGTCTTAATGAAACATGACGTGTACACTATATAATAACCTTCACCCCTCCTCAGCTTCGTGCTGCATATGAGCACAGAGACCAAGGGGACATGTCCAGATAACACACCTCCTAACAACGACACCGACTCTCTCAAACAGCAGCTCATCCAGGTACCTCCTCATCAGTCTTCATGTGATCAATCATCTAATGTCAATATTTTAATTTTTGTTGCAAATCTACTAATGTCGATTAATTGTTACTAAAAACTTATTGTAGAAATATTTATTTAATATCTCGTGCCGTTTTGCAGGTAGAAGAGGAATACCTGGCCCTGAAAGACCAGACTCGCTCTATAGAAGGAAGAAGTAACAAACTAGAGGACCACAACAGGCAGCTCGTGCAACAAGCTCGCTTATTGGAGGAACAAGCCAGGGAGACAGAGCAGATTTACCTCCGACAAAACCAAGAGAAGAACGCCCTTATCGAAATGACTAACAGAGAAAAGTAAGACCTGATTGAAATTGAACAAAATATATGCAAACATCCCATCAATTTAAGTCTACGTTACATGAACTTAGAGTGGTTTACTACACATAAAAACTAGGCTTCTTTATCGGAATTTCTCCAGCGGTATATTTGCTTGTTTGACAGTTATTTATTCAGAAAAGAGGTTGAGGAAGAGTTAGTGAAGATGAAAGAAGTCGTAAGTGTGAGCGAAGAGATCATATCCTCCGTGGTTCCCAATTATCTGATGAATAACTCGGATCTCCCCACTATGCAATTAAGAGTAAGTACAGTCTTCTCTCGTTATTGAACTCCTCGGGTTATTTGTTGGTCCGATTGTTAGTTGTTAGAGACAAAATATTATTATTGTAATCAGATTTCTGGGTCACCATGTACTATCGTAATAAAATTTGAGCGTTCAGAAAAGTCTCAGTAGAAGACATACACTCCGCAACAAACTTTTCACCGAGCTTAGACTGCTGCAAGTTCCCACAAGAAAATCAGGAGTTGTACACCGACAATCATATATTCATACACTCTGTTATAGTTAGTATACACAAGTAATAAGCCATTTATTGCTAATCAAGAATATACTATTTAGCTTGCCTGTTCATATTTACCTTGGCCTTGTGATGCCTGCTTGTCTGCCTAACTGCAGTGGTTGGTCTGATTTTCTAGAGAGGGTCAGGTGAACAAGATAATCTCCTGCTAGGCTTACTGTGGAACTGATAGTTCGGGAGGTATTTTGTCTTTTCTAGACTTTTTCTCTGTGTTGTAGATGAAGAGCTTCTTTCAAAACGGCCTCGCAAGAACATCTCCTATAAAACGGTTACATAATCATAACGTTTCCCACCTGAAAGTTGTCTTGTGTTTACCTTTTGTGGTCGAGCTTCTTGGACTGTTATTGGGAAAAAGATTCCGATTAGAAAACCACATAATTATCATCACATGATCCATTTTACTGTTCAACATCTTATACTAAAATCGTGCTGAATCGCCGAATCGGTTAAATGTTACATAGTCACGTTTGATGTGCACTCAAAATGATACATGATTTTATAACTTAAACTCTTTATCTCTTTTAAATGAACGATTATCCAATTCACATTCAGTTATATTCTCAATGATAACATTTGGTAATTAATATACTCAAAACTCTCTAGTCTCTATACCGTGCCTCTCTAGTCTCTATACCGTGCCTCTCTAGTCTCTATACCGTGCCTCTCTAGTCTCTATACCGTGCCTCTCTAGTCTCTATACCGTGCCTCTCTAGTCTCTATACCGTGCCTCTCGATACCTCTGTATATCGGGTCTCTTACTTATAGTTAATTAGCTCGTTTTGTTAAAGAATGAAGAAATGTGGCTTATATCGCATTTGGTTGGTGATTTGAGCAGTACGTGATCTTAACGTGAATACTGAACAGCGAATGAAAAGACGATGATTCAGGAAGGGCAATTAACTAGCCTCTCTATCGTCTACACAACTAGCTGTCGCCTTAAATGGGAAATTTGTCGGCAATTATATATTCGTACTCTACACAATAGCGAACCTGCATAAAAACGAGGGTAGTAACGACGTATTAGCTCACTTCTAGGCGCGTGGTGGACTAGCCTGTGACGTAATTGTCCATTTAATGTCTCCTGCTTGGTCTATAAATATAATGATCAATATAGTTCTTATTTCATTTCTTTTGCAAATGTCACCAACTTTTCGAACTCTTAGCTGTCAACTTTAGATGATATCTGCAAGTTTCAAATTAAGGTAACTATTATCTGCCTTTTGTGGTCATCCTGAACCAAGTCGTTTTTATCAACATACAGTTCTATAAACCTGTAATAAACGCCTGGAAAGTTAGAGTTACTTCCTCGATGAGAAGTGAGCCTGGTTGGTGGGTTGTTGGGTGCAGGTTGTGGTCGGTAATAGTTCTACTAATGATCCAGTCCCCCACCGTCATTACCTGTAATTATCGTAGTCACCCGATTAGAAATTATATAGTACCATCTTCGCTTCCTTGCATTTGCTTGTAAATAAACCCGATTTTAGCTCTTTATTTCGTATATTTCGTTTACAAATCTTACTCAATAGTAACTGCTATGACAAATAACAATTCTCTATTATCTTAATTCTACACCCGATAAACTGATGTGTTATGCTGATGGTGATTAAATTAAAGGATGAGTTAACGAAGCCTTCCTTCTTCCAGGACAGTCCGATGAATGGGGATCATTTCGCCGTTGACAGCAGTCAGATGAGTAACGACACAGTAAACTTCTCTTGTCTGACTAATGCTGGGGAAGAGTGTGCCCTCCCGGGGGCTACGAGATACCTGGCTGGGTTCTACAAGACTGCCACCGAACAGGTTAGCGGTTAGCATCTTCATGAATCAAGTGAATCTTGACAACTTGGTTAAGTTTTATGCTATGATCCCCCTCTTTTTCTTATTTGCGAATCGTCGCTAAGAGTTTTAAAAACTTTTTCACGTGTTACAGTTTACATAAAAGTATTTTGATAAAGTCAAATAATCTTGTCGCCATGTTGTACCGCTATTTTACTTCCCTATTAAGGGGGGGGGGGGGGGGGTCACAAGAAAATCAGGGTGACCCCCCCCCCCCCCCCCCTTAACAACAAGCTTTGGTTACCCCTCGTAGCTGGTAGTAGCCTTGGTAAATGTGAACTATCTTTTATATCTAACCTCTGAACGTCTTCAGGTGCAAGAATTGGAACAACTTCTACATCAAAAGGACTTTAAACTCAACTCTCTTGTGTCAACAAACTCTGGGCTGAGCAACCGTCTCTCCCAAAGCGAGTAAGTGTACCTTTTTGTGGCTAATGTATATATATATACAGGGTGGGCCAAAAGTCATTACCCATATGTTGGGTATTATACCTCCGCCGTGTTTTATATTTGAGAGTTGTTGCTTTGCAGATGGCATACTGTACCTACTTGTTCGATGATTCCGTCGCCAAAATTTGAATATTTTAGACCACGCCCATTCAATATTAAAACACCTATATTGTTCTCTCTGAACATGCTGGACGCCTAATTTTTTTAGAGACGGCAGATTATTAAATGTTGCATCTGATCTGAAAAAATGATGTGAAACGGATTAGGAATGACGAAATTATCAAGCATTTTGTGTATCTTGTTAGCAAAATTGACTGGGTGATTACTGATTATGTGACACCGGGACACGACACCTCAATTGGGCAGCCTTAACGATTCCCATAATGTTTAACGGGGTGGTTAACGGGGTCACCTTATCACGTGATTAGGAAAGCCAATCACCTGATCACACGTAATGAATAAACTCTTTATGCTTCGCATCTCGTGATTCCAGGGATAATATCCGGTAATAGAGACTAGGTAGGACAAGTGAAACTACTGTGTTTCCTAAACAGTAGTTTCACTTGTCCTACCTAGTCTCTACTACCGGATATTATCACTGGAATCATTATCCTATCATGAGACTGATAAACAGCGAACCTCTCCAGGATCTCATATTTCTTCGTATCTCGGTCATCTGAGAAGCTAAAACTCTAATTTTTTCAGGACAAATTAATTCGAATGGCCAAACACATTTCAATAAAATTTAGCTCGATCCGACTATCCAAACTATCAAATAAATGCGAAAAGGAACCTTCATTTGAAAATAATGAACACGAATATTTTTCGAGTTGACAAATTCCTCGAACCAGTGGTGGTACTAAGTCATGCCAGAAAGAATAATTTCAATTGGGCACTCAGTGACTGAGCTATGAAGGCCAACGTATGGGTACTGACTTTTGGCCCACCCTGTGTATATATATATATATATATACTTCAATCTATTAAAGTTTATAGTCGCACATGTATTATCCTTATAATCCAAAAATTCCATTATCGGCCGCTCCCAAGGATTGAGGTTTAGTAACTAATGTAGTTACTGCTTCTAGTACATCACTTCCCCGTCTCCGTTCTAGATCTTCTGCAATTACCAGCGAGATTGAGGTTTTGCTGCCCGGTATTACCAGTATTCAGTGTTCACCGAGTGACGTAGAAGATATGCACTGATCCAATGGCCTTTCTACATTATAAAGTAATCCTTAATTAGCTAATTACCCTGATTAATGATTACAGCTCTTTGTTCAACCAGAATTGCACTGTGCTGCATCCTACTTTATCCTGTGTCCTATATCAGTCCTGTATAATACTTCCACCTTTGAAATCATCCTCTGTTAAGTTGTCCTGTGCTTCATGTGTTATACTACGTTACCTTGGTACTTGCCCGCACGTGCTCATCCTCTTTACAATTGTACGTCTGGTTTTAAAGAAGTGAACCTCAACACCGCTCTCATTTAGCCTACTTACTGGGTCATTATTTATTTTTAGACGTAAATATACTGTTTAAACAGGATAGACTGAGCTGTAATTGTTGTAAAAACTTTTATTCGCTGTTGTTGTTATGAATATCAGTCCAGTGTTCTCATACCAGGAGCTTTTAAAGGCTCATTTGCTTTTAAAGGGTCTTATTTGCACCAAAAGTTCGAGTGCCATGGTTAATGAGGTATGATTACCTGATTACTATTTAGTCAATATTTTTCCTTATAATAGGCAAATAAATGGTTGAAATATTTATAGTAGGATTAGAGACAATTGCTTTGATTCGTTACTTTTAATATTATTATTCACCATTCATTCTGTTTAAATTTGATTACCTCTCGACATCTTCCATCTATTTTCGTATTTCTACAATGTTTTGGCGTATCGATATATTTATAACTAAAATTTGTAGAATTGCAAAGATTTTAGCCTTCATCTGTAAACCAACGAACAACATTTGGTTTGTTTAATTTCTGGGTTTGCAGCAGCCTTGACTATTGATTACGATGACCTCCCACATTGTTTGATCGTGAATATTGTGCTGTATTGTTGAGTGAATATATCCATGCTTAGAGATTACTGTGCCTAGTTATATTACACAATATACTTGAGGGATTTATCAGAGTTACAATAAGACTCCCTTTTCACAAAAGAAATGTTAATTCAGCACAAATAGCAAACCTTAATAAATACTAAATCTAAGTGTTAATTAATAATAAGAAAATTACATTGGTTTATCTATTGACTTAGTAACTTAGGAAGCATCCAATTGGAAGTAAGATACTCTTGTGGATGATTAAAAGTAATATTCAAGACATTAGGACATTAAGGTCCCTCCAACTTGGTGGTTTGGTACTCTAGTACCAAGTATTCTTTAGTACCAAGTATTAATAGATTAGGCCAATTTCAATTTTAGTACTTCCCTGTTTCGCTTCGCTGTTATTCGTACGTACGCGGATTTTATTTATGCTACATCAGTGTACTAGGTCCAATTATTCTCACCTTGAAGGTCTTAATTATAAAAATACTCATAAGTAGTCCCTTCACTTCCTTAAGAAACGCTGTTAAAAACATCCATCTCACAATGCGAAAGGACCAAGCATTATACTAGTCTTAGAACCTAAGAAGAAAATTCTGAAAAGACCAGTATTGACCATTGACCATTGACCATTGACCATTGACCATTGACCAATCATCTTTTTTAGGACAGGTAGTAAACTGCTATATTTTCATTTTGAAACGATAACCCTCCAGCTAGCTATAGCCTATACTGCTATAGTATTTAGTACCGGTTACGGTAACAGTTCCCTTAGCGAATACAGGTACAAGAGAGTAGTAGATAAAGTCAAACCCCGATTTTACTGTATAAAGCTTCATAATCACAATCAGATACTTTGAGTCGACTATTCGGGTAGTCGGTCCTTTATGCTAACCAGGGTAACTAACTGTATGTATTATAGGATCCGTTAGTTGAGTCATCATAAAGTAAGTTAAAGTTGCAATAGTAAACCAAGCCTTGAGGCTTCATGAAGATTCAATTAACACAACCTGTAGCCTATAAATATTCACTCGGGTTAACATAAAGGACCGACCACCCGAAATACCGACTCAAAGGATCTGATTCTAATTATGAAGCTTTTTAACTGCTTGTAAGCAAAACTTTTTACAATACTAATACTATGTAACTTTTGTAACTTATTGCGTGTTAGCTCTGATATCACATAACGTTTGTGACTACACAGTGTTCACTGTGGGCATTGCTATATTATTAAAAACCACCGATGCCATTTCAAAATGGGTGGAAGGGGAACTACCAAAGAATATCGAGCCTTTTACTGAATCTTTTACTCTGTATACGCAGCGTATATACGGTACTTTTCACGCAATTGAGGTGAGGTTTATGAACTTCGTTATCGGTGATTTATTTCTAAAAAACCAAAAATTCACCACAATGGAGGATTGATAGCCCTGACTGAGAAACTATCGTGTCATCGTCTTCGATGTGTTTGAGGTTTGAATAGTGGGCCCCAATAGTATGTACTTATCTATCAATATTTTTAGTAACTTATGTGATATCGCATAAACCTAGAGCCAGAGGTAGCACTTGCTTTAAGAACAATTGTTTTAATGTTTACTAAGATTCCGCCTTTTCCATCGGACCACTGTTGAGCATGTCCCATTTTAAAGTAAAAACGTATTATTTCTAAATTAAGCGATGTTTGTTTAAACCTGCTTTAATTTTTGTAGGGCAAATCTAAAATCGCTGAAAGGGAAGATGTCAGACTACGACGACATTAAAGAAAAGGTAACAGTAAAAATAGAAACATTTAAAATGTATTGATTACTCTCAGGGATTAAACAAAGAAAATCTACACGATTTCACTTCAGTTATTTTGTCCATCACTCACTGCAACTATCTCATATCCGTGCAGTTACAAGAAGCAAACAGAGCTATAGCAAAACTAAAAGGAGAGATACTGAAACTGAGCACTGAAGCGCAGAATGCTCAGTTCCAGGGAAATTCAGCAGACGATGAACTGATAGAAGAGAACGAGGATCTGAAATGCCAGGTGAGATCAGTAAACTCGACATTCATGAAATTGTTTTTATGTCTAGCCGAACATTTCAGTCTTGGAGTTGGATACTAATGACCAACTAATTGTTATGTAAAATCAGAAATCTTCTATTTTATATAATATTATTTTATACAGGTGGAGAAACTGGAGGAAATCAAAGCAACGCTGCTGAACGACGTCCAACTTCTGAGGGAGCAGCTTGATGAGGTTCGAATATCTGTTCTGCTTTTAAACATTTTCTAGAGACTTCTACTGTATCATGATCGGAACTGTAGTCTGTACTGGTGATACTTCACAAGTAAATAGTTGAACCTGACCGGATTCTTTGAAAGTTTTATATTTAACCTTTCCTGTTATATTGCACTTAATTTACTTCTGATTAACAAAGTATAGGAAAACGTTGTCACTTCACGGTTTGTCCGCTTGAATTTGGTCTCGTAAATTCTTGCTCAAGTAAGTTCAATCCCCCTGTAACCATGGTAACCAGGCCCAGGACGATATAGAGGCACTTCAAGAGGAACTAGACAAACTGAATGACGATGATTCAGTGTCAGAGGGCGCTAACCAACGTTTCACTGAACTGAAGCGGAAGTTGGAGGCAGTGATTGCAATGAAAGTGTCCCGCATAACTGAACTGGAGAATGAAGTTGAAGAGCTGACATCAGGACGAGAAAAGGCTGAGAAGAAGATTGCTGAATTGGGGAGTCAGCTCAAAGAGAAGGAGGTTGAAAACCGCCAGATAAGACAGAAAAAAACTGCTTCAGTGTGGAAAAAAGTAAAAGTGCAAGCCATAAAGGCAGAAGAGGTTCACAATTATACGTCGGTGTCCTCTTCTTTGCAGACTGCAGTTGCTAAATTCTACTCGCTGTACTGTACATTTTGTTTTCTCCTATTTGATGTTTGGTGAATATTATGTCTCCAGTCTGAACATTCGTTGTTTGCCCTAAACCCTCATTGTACACTTGCTGAAGTCCGTTGTACAATGTACATATATTTTGTATTACCGTTAATTTGTTGTTTGTTTCTATTAGTCATTTGGAAAGCACTTACCTTACGAGACATATTTAAATGGTATGAAAGTCGGTGGTTTTTCGGAAAAAACACCATATTTTCGGACTAATTTAGGTCACCGTCATTATTTTCCCCAAACTATTTTTCACGTATTTTCCTTAATTATGGCTTTATCAATTTACTGTCAATATAGTAAGTTATAAATATGATTCATCATACAAATGAACACTAGTATTCGATCATGAATTGCTTTAAAAATGATTTCGGGCACGTTCCATTATGATTAAAAGTAAGCAAGCTCTGTATTTACTATATTGGCGGTGAAATTTCGGGAGTATAGTAGTGGAAGATTACAGACACCGTCGGTTTCCTATAATACCGTTTGGAGGATTAGAAGTTATATTAAGTTGAGGCTAACTTTCAAAGGCTCCGGAGAAATTGTTTACAATATGAAATAGCTTATCAGAGAAGATCTTTGTATTTAATTTTCTCAAATATTGGGTTTCATTTTTGTAAAATAAGGAGATGAAAAAAATCCCCAAATACCATGATTTAATTTGGGGTACAAAATAAGGCGGTTTTCGGAAAAAAATCTCATATTTTCGTTCCTAAATCATTTAGGTCACCGGAATTATGTCGAACATAAATATGTCTCGTAAGGTATTGCATTTCTAGCAATTTAGCAATATTCAATACTATTGTCAAATCATCCTCGATGTTATTGGTTGGATCATGCGTCCTCTCCCTCCATGAAAGAAATGATCTGCCAAACTGCAGAATATAAAGACACCGACTACTGAAATGAGATATAGAATATGAAATACTAGAAACTCGCTAGTCGAAAGCTACATTCTAAAGACTATAGTTCTGCAGAAGGTTCTGAAGATGATATATTACCGTCGTCAGCTGTATCCAAGCAGACTGTTAGATCAGTTTCCTGCAGGTTCAATTGGCCCTGCAAGCGGAGAAGGGAGTCGCAAGTATTACAATGTAAATTTACTGTAGTCCTTGTAATTTTATTTACCTTGGTCGGGTGTATTATAAATCACATGTAAAGGTATACTTGGTTCTTCGTTCTAAATCATTTGTAAATTGAACATTGTTCCTGAGCAAGATTCGCGAAATAATCTGTCGATCGTTGAGAAATTCCAATTTGCTCTCATTTTCGTTGTAAATTATTTGTATACATTTCTGTTCGCCAATAACGCTGATATTCTGATTAGTACACAGCCCGATTACAACATTTAAATTTTTAGAATTTTCTGAAGAAAATTAATGGGTGACTTAATATAAATTTTAGTGAGTTGTTGCTTGTTGTTGTAAGTTGATACATTATTATCCAATCTCAGTGCCTAGATAAATATGACAATAACAATAATTATCTAATGTTTATTCCCACAGGATCAAGTCATGAACGACCAGGCAGCAAAAGAGATTGCTGAAGCAAACGAACTCATCGAGCAGCTGAAGTCTCATAATGGTACGTTAACTTTATCTCTCATCTTCCCTCTCTCTCTCTCCCTCTCTCTCTCCCTCTCTCTCTCTCTCTCTCTCTCTCTCTCTCTCTCTCTCTCTCTCTCTCTCTCTCTCTCTCTCTCTCTCTCTCTCTCTCTCTCTCTCTCTCTCTCTCTCTCTCTCTCTCTCTCTCTCTCTCTCTCTCTCTCTCTCTCTCTCACACACACACACGCATGACTTCACGCGCATATCACATGTGCATATCACATGTGCAGAGCAAGAGAGAAAAGGAAGTAGCACGTGATTTATGAAATCTTATTTAATTTGGTGATCTGTCCGTGAATATATTTAGAAACTGACCGTCATGAGAGATTCATCCTCTTGAATGTTTTCAGCGTGAATACTATTCACCAACCTTTGCATTTCTCCTACCACACTTTCCTATGTAAAGACTACTGTGCTTAAAATTAAAGGATCAGCTTCAGAATAAGATACAACAAGAAACTTTCGATCCTTTAATTTATAAAATTGATTAAGACATTCCTGTAGTATCAAATAAAAGAGTTGCTGGTTAAGGAAAGAGTTTAAACAGTTTAGAGAAAGATCCCAATTTTAAATACTAATCAATTACCTAATTTGGCTAAGATTTAACTATAAGGTAATTACTTCCGCAGACAATCTAGAAGAAACTCTACAAACGTCAGAGGATAGAAACAGGACTCTGGAAGACAACATACGCTCATTGGAGGAACAACTAGCTACTTTACAGACCCAAATTAAACGTGTGTAGTATAATATGATAGACGTAGAGCACGGCAGATCATTTATTAAAGTCACAATTTGTCTACGTCTCAACCTTGTCTACCTTGGTTGTTATAAAGTATCTGATGTTTAGTTAAGAGCAGCAGTTCGTGCTGAATATTATTTCTGAACCAGTGATATTGTTTGTTTAGTCTCTCTTCTGTAGAGACTGAGTAGAATGGTTAATAATGGTTATTGTGTCAACTGTTCCGTACGTGTCTGCAAGTGCCTCACAGCAATCTCTTGGAGTAAAGGTAATCCTAGCTCCATACAATATAGCAGATAACCCTTTCTTCTTATGTGGCTTATTGTTAAGTTAAATATATTTTATACGCTAATCTAACTGCGTATAATGCGATTACACTATTAATTGCACGAGGCGCAGCCGAGTGGAAATTGATACAATAATCGCACGAGGCGAAGCCGAGTTCGATTATTGCAGTTATTTCACGAGGCGCAGCCGAGTGCAATAACTGGTGTAATCGTATTATACATGCAGTTAGATTCGCGTATAACTCCACGCCTCTGATGTTATAACCAGTGTAATTAGTTTATAATCGCACCTACTTTGTTGTTATACAGGGTGGGCCTCAAAAGTCTACCCATCCTTATCTCTTAAAATTGTAACAGCTCGCCGAGATCTCACTAATTATTTTATTTCAGAATGGAAAAGCGACATAACTTACGTTCTGATTAATATTTTTGATTCAAATTTTTAGAGAATGTCAATCATAATTAGACACAACTTCGTGCTAAGTTTTGTGTGAGTCTGAGCTTGTCTGACAAAGTTAGCTCCTGAGTGTGCTAGCATTAATTTCTCACCCAGAACTGTTTACATTGGTTAATAGAAACCACCAAAAAAGATCCTGGGTAAAAAAATTAAAAAACCACCGATTTATTTATGTTTTACCAATTCTATTCACCATGATACATCGCACATTCCATGTAAGAAGAACGATATAAACAAGCAGGAAGGATCATCTGTGATAGTCCTTATCAGTTAAAATATAGAGAGAATGGAATGTGCGATGGATCCATGTGAATAGAATTGGTAAAACGTGAATAAATCGCTGGTTTTTTTAATTTTGTGACCCAGGATTTTTTTTTGGTGGTTTCTATTAACCAATGTAAACAGTTCTGGGTGAGAAATTCAAGCTAGCTCGCTCAGGGGCTAAATTGGTCAAATAAGCTCAGTGAAGCTCGCAATCACACAAAACTTGTCACAAAGGTTTAGATACTTGTTATTAACATTCTGTGAAATTTAGAAGCAAAAATATTTATCAGAACATAAGTTATGCCACTTTTTGTTTTACAAATAATTAGTGAGATCTCAGCCTCATACTGTGTTGTGTTAATGCAATGTAAGGATTGACTTATTCCAAACACAAGGAAAGATGTTGTCCTAAACTATAAATTTAAATTTATGCCCTGGATAAATACGTTACGTTCGACCATTGCACTAACGGTCGCCAAACTACCTCAGGTAGTTGATTTAAAGGGGAGATACACCAAAACCGTTTTTGCTCCGAACATCGATTTTATTTTATATTATTTTTAAATAGACAAAAAGAATAAGATTGTACACCTTCAAAAATTTTTTTAAATATTCCCTCATCGAGAAAAAAAATATTTTTCTTTTTCGAAAATTTTTAAAATTTGGAGAAGTCTGTCACTGTAATACCGATAGTTCGGCCATTTAAAAAGTTTTTTAGCTGATTTTTTTACTGAACATTACTTACACTCCGTACTAGAAGCCATTGAAAGGATTATATAATTGAACAATAAATGACCAAGTTACAGACCGAACAAGGTGAAAAAAGAAAAATTGGGATTTTTGCCTACCACCAAAGTTGTACATTTCACCACCCGCCCAGGTCATCAGATATCGCTTCAAAAATTCTTGTGAGTGTAGTTGATGATCATGGCAAGCTTTTTGGAACCGGATTTTTCTCAATTTTGAGTTTTAAGCTATGCAATGTGGCCTCAAACGACTTAGTAAAATTCATCGTAAAAAAGGGCAAAAAAGGCAGATTTAAGGCTTAAAATGCCTATAACTCAAACAATATCAGTTTTTTTGAAATAATTTTTACAGGATCGTAATCAGCTTGGTTAGACGAATCTTTTAGTACGACATTTATAATATTCAAAGCCACAAAATTTGTAAAAAAATGTGTACAATTTGTACAAAATTTATACAAGGGGGGACCCTTGTGTTCGAGCTAGAAAATTATTTAAGACAATTTGTCTTCTAAAAGCACCTATTTGGTACTAAAAGATTCGTCTTACCAAGCTGATTACGATCCTGTAAAAATTATTTCAAAAAAACTGATATTGTTTGAGTTATAGGCATTTTAAGCCTTAAATCTGCCTTTTTTGCCCTTTTTTACGATGAATTTTACTAAGTCGTTTGAGGCCACATTGCATAGCTTAAAACTCAAAATTGAGAAAAATCCGGTTCCAAAAAGCTTGCCATGATCATCAACTACACTCACAAGAATTTTTGAAGCGATATCTGATGACCTGGGCGGGTGGTGAAATGTACAACTTTGGTGGTAGGCAAAAATCCCAATTTTTCTTTTTTCACCTTGTTCGGTCTGTAACTTGGTCATTTATTGTTCAATTATATAATCCTTTCAATGGCTTCTAGTACGGAGTGTAAGTAATGTTCAGTAAAAAAATAAGCTAAAAAACTTTTTAAATGGCCGAACTATCGGTATTACAGTGACAGACTTCTCCAAATTTTAAAAATTTTCGAAAAAGAAAAATAATTTTTTTCTCGATAAGGGAATATTTTTAAAAATTTTTGAAGGTGTACAATCTTATTCTTTTTGTCTATTTAAAAATAATATAAAATAAATTCGATGTTCGGAGCAAAAACGGTTTTGGTGTATCTCCCCTTTAAGTCAATACTTGAATCAGCACCTCACAGTAGTAAAATACTCGGTTTTAATTAGGTCCTCATTTTACGAGGTGCTCTCTCTAACTCTAATTATCTGCCTGAGCCATGATTTACAGCATCTTTCAGGGAATCAGTGCAATTAGTTTAGTAATCGTACCTAATAAGATTTCGGTCACTCTCAAAACAGTGCAATTAGTTTTGTAATCGCACCCCCTGGAACAAAAACCGGTGCAATTATGGAATTAATAAATGGCCGCCAAATAGGTCAAAAGTGGAGTTATAATATTAATTCTACAGAGGAGAAGACTGCTAATAGGGAGCTGCTGGAGAAAGCTGAGGATGCAACCTCTTCTAAAAACAGGTTTGTGCACTATTTACCACTATTTACCCCTATTTACCACTGCATTGTGATGATGCTTTTGTTTTGTGACAAATAAAACTTTTCATTTTCCATACCTTAAACTAAAACCCTATCTCAGCAAACACAATAAAGAAATGGCAGATCTGCGCACTACACGTGATGAGCTGCAGAGCACAATTGACCAGCTGAAAGGGGAGCTGAGACGGAAGGGGCTCGAAATAGAGGAAGTGAACGACAACAACTCTTCCCTCCAGAGGAAACTAAACAAACTGCAACCCTCTCTTGATTCTTATGAAGAGGTATTGTTTTTTTTCTGTCTGTGTCGTAAATGCAGTTAGACGTAGAAAAGAAAAACGCGCTCGAAACTTTTTTTCATTTTCAAAGTACTGATTGGCATAATATCATGACAATGTAGATCTCTTTCTAGTCTTGACTCAGAGCATCTATTTATTGTTTTACTAACGAGAACCCGGTTGATGGTTTCTTCGTGACAATTAATCTAACATTCTTCTGTAATGGTGCCATATCTGTTATTAGTGTTTGATATCTGGTTGCCATATTTCGTTCACAATCACATGGTTCACAGCTGTTAAATTGTTAACACTCGGTAGTCATGGTTACAGGATTAAAACATGGTTTACTGTTGTTCAATGTTCACCACAACAATATCTTCATCTGTAAATTAAGTGTCCTCTTTGTAGTTGTCACTCCGGTGTCATATCTCCACCATTACTGTAATACCCTGTAGGGGATTAAGACATCACTGTATATCCCAAATATGTCTTACTGTCTTAGTAAGGGGAAAAGTGGCATTCCGTTGGATTTGAATGTTCACAAGGATTTCTCAACGGAATATGGTAGTTAAGACCCCTACGAACATAATTAGACTTGTTGCCAATTTTGTATCTCAACAGAAACACCACTTTTACCACTTTTTACCACCTTTGTACCACCTGTCTGGTTTGCCAAATATCTTTAGTTGTGAACGTCGTAAAAGGCTGCAAATTAACCTAGAATGTTTATCTTATCAAGGAGTAAAACTTTTGTGTGAAAAATTTTTACATTGGACAATCAGCTAATTGGATAATTACCAATTAGTTAATCACCAAAAAAAGTGAAAATTTTTTATTGGCTCAAAATGATTGAAATCGTTTAAAACACGGAGAAATGTAGTTTTTAGAAAAACTTCAAAAATTTTTCACTTAAAAATTTTTTTCGAGACTTGGAAAAAAGTTTGAAAATTTGAAAATATTTTTTTCCGCCAAAAGTGATCGAATTGCATGAAACGTGGATAAAAATGCTTTGCAGAAAAACTTCGAAGATTTTTAGATTGGGGAATACTAAAATCATCAATATTTGAAGTTGGAGTTCAGTAAATCTCGACATATTTTAGTAATTAGGAATAGCTTAGCGGAAAGGGCTGAACCTGAAAAAGGTTAACCACACAATATTAGAGTTTCATAACTAATTACAATACAGCTTTATCAAATTCCACATAAAGAAACAGCACAAAAGAACCATTTAAGATCGAACCGATTTTACCTGCTGTACTATCATTTTATTGATTTCAATGATCAAAACCTCTGTACCGTCAATCTTGCCAATCTATACCGGGTATCTGAATGTACCGGACCTCTTATTTACCTCTATAATTAGACCCAGTTGTGCAAGAAATGCGATTTCTCACAGGGGTTTCTTTTAACAGTGCACTTTTTGTCACTCTCGCAACTCGCAAGAGGCCCGGTATTATAGGGGGGTATAGTAAGGGGAAAAGTGCAAAAGAACAGTGCAAGTGATACAGTATGCAACAGTAAAACGCCGAAGAAGGAGATAAGATTGTGGCTGCAGAGGAGGAGAGGAGCTGGAACCTGATTTTGTTTGGGTTGAAAGAAGAGTAGGAAGAAGAGTTTCCTGCTCTGGTAACTGCATTTTTGGAAGAGGTGGGGTGAGAACTTATTTTCAAGCGACAAGGGTGGGCTGGAAGCAACCAGGTACAGCTATCCGACCTATTAAGATCACCGTCCTGAGCTTAACAGCCTTTCATCAGAATCTGATGAAAACAGAGAGACTGACCCACCCTTTTTAGATTGATTGATCAAAGTGAGTCTCTTTAGCCCTCTTCTTCTTTAGAGCTTTAGGTTAGTGATCAAACTCTTCGCTACTCGCTCTTCACTGGATCTATCAGGACAGATTCACATCTTTTTAGGCCTCAACCAGCCTTAGTTTTCCTGTTTTCATCATGTAGTACGTTCTGCTACCTCCATTTTAGCACCACCCAGCTTCCATCAGTTCACTCTAAGTCTAGCTTCGTCGGCGTTTTACTGTTGCAGACTGTATCACTTGCACTGTTCTATTGCACTTGCAGTACTCCTGCACTGTAGCTCTGTGTCCCTGACTACACCGTGGTTTACACTGCCCCTCAACTGCAATCTTAAGTAACTTTAGTTCCGGCACTCTTTGGCCATTAAAATAACCAACTCCAATGAAACCCCGTGTAGCTACGTTCTGCTACATCCATGCTAGCACCACCCAGCTACCACCAGTTTACTCTAAATCTAGCTATTTCTAGCAACTTTTCAATGCTATCTCCAGCTCTATCCCGACCCTGGCAATGACATATGGGGGTTATTCGAGGTATCTGGCATAGCAAACGAAGCGGCATGCGCATTCACAATACAAAAAAGCCACAGTGGGGGCACAGTGGATGATGGAAGGTATATTTACACTCGCTTCCTATACCCCCCTATAATACCGGGCCTCTTGCGAGTTGCGAGAGTGACAAAAAGTGCACTGTTAAAAGAAACCCCTGTGAGAAATCGCATTTCTTGCACAACTGGGTCTAATTATAGAGGTAAATAAGAGGTCCGGTACATTCAGATACCCGGTATAGATTGGCAAGATTGACGGTACAGAGGTTTTGATCATTGAAATCAATAAAATGATAGTACAGCAGGTAAAATCGGTTCGATCTTAAATGGTCCTTTTGTGCTGTTTCTTTATGTGGAATTTGATAAAGCTGTATTGTAATTAGTTATGAAACTCTAATATTGTGTGGTTAACCTTTTTCAGGTTCAGCCCTTTCCGCTAAGCTATTCCTAATTACTAAAATATGTCGAGATTTACTGAACTCCAACTTCAAATATTGATGATTTTAGTATTCCCCAATCTCAAAATCTTCGAAGTTTTTCTGCAAAGCATTTTTATCCACGTTTCATGCAATTCGATCACTTTTGGCGGAAAAAAATATTTTCAAATTTTCAAACTTTTTTCCAAGTCTCGAAAAAAATTTTTAAGTGAAAAATTTTTGAAGTTTTTCTAAAAACTACATTTCTCCGTGTTTTAAACGATTTCAATCATTTTGAGCCAATAAAAAATTTTCACTTTTTTTGGTGATTAACTAATTGGTAATTATCCAATTAGCTGATTGTCCAATGTAAAAATTTTTCACACAAAAGTTTTACTCCTTGATAAGATAAACATTCTAGGTTAATTTGCAGCCTTTTACGACGTTCACAACTAAAGATATTTGGCAAACCAGACAGGTGGTACAAAGGTGGTAAAAAGTGGTAAAAGTGGTGTTTCTGTTGAGATACAAAATTGGCAACAAGTCTAATTATGTTCGTAGGGGTCTTAACTACCATATTCCGTTGAGAAATCCTTGTGAACATTCAAATCCAACGGAACCCTTAAATCGACCACTTTTCCCCTTACTATCTGTTTTCCTTTGCTTCGTAGAAATTGTCTGATAATTGGTTTCTAGCTGTAAAATATGTCGACGGACAAGTTGATACCCTACATGACTTTTAAATGTACCACTCAGAACTCATCGTCCATATTTTACATTCCTGATACCTGCAATATGCATGAGGTCAGTCGTTCTTTCTCGTTATACTTAACTCAACCGCTTCATTTTGTTAATTTTTGTAAAACTCTTAATGTGGTTTAAAGTTTTTTCGTTGTCTTCATCCATTTATCGTCTCGAGTCTTGTGGTCTCCAGCCATGTTCCCTGTCTTGTGGGCTAGGACAGCGTGTCTTTTATTTCGTCATGTCCCAATACCCACGTGACTATCGTGATGACCACCTCAGGAGAACTTGAAGTTGAAGGACCAGCTGAGTTCTCAGCAGGCACAGATGCTGAAGCTAAAGAGAGAGGTCGAGGAACTGCTAAGTGATAAAGAGGGACTTGGCGAGAGTGTGAGTCTCTTCCTCCGCATAACTTCCTCCGCATGACCTGCTTAATTAATAAGATAATTGGGCATGTTTCCGTGAAAGTCTCTCTCATAGTGCACGAAACCGTTTACTAGTGCATGAAATCTTCTAATCTTTGTTGCATGCTCTCTCTTAACCTTATCTCGTAAATTTAATCGTTTTAATTAAGATTCTAATTACCACAAAACTAGTTGTCGGCACTGAGGTTAAAGGTGAATGTAGAGAGGAAGCATGTTGGTACTCAGTCTAAAAGCGTCATCGATCCGTTTGTTAACGCTATTAAAAGTAACGTAAGTATAGTGGGATGGCACTTCAGCTGTGGTGGCTTTAGACAAATCAGCATTATCTTAATGCGTATGTTTTCCGAAGAACGGGTGTTAGATTTTGTGAACGCTAATCGTACTTCTGAGTGAGCTTCCGTGATTCACATTTCGCTCTTTGTTGTTCAATCTTCAGCTGTTGTGATGTGTCGGTAGAAGCTATTATCAAGTTTTATTTCTGCTAAAAAAACGATAAAACTCTAATTTTAGTGCTAAATTGAAATTGATAATAATTAATATACATTTTACATTTTTTTAAATATTTTATATCAACCACCCGACTGACAGTCCCTCTCACAGGTGAGTAGCACACTAAAACTGAAGTTGAAAGAAGCAAAAGATAAAATCTCACAACACGAAGTAGAGGCTGAAAATCAAGAAAAGGCTCTGAAGAAAGTAACAATCGAGTTGCACGAGTGCAAGGAACAACTCGCTAGTGCCGAGGAAAAGATTGAGAAACTTGAGTCAGCACTCGACGACTTGAAAGGGAAAGTGAACGTCCGCAAGAAGTCAGCGAGCTCTCAGGTGAATTATGGTATTATTGGAGGGACTGGGAGGTGGGAGGCGATGCACTGAGTTTGACTTTATTGGAAGCTTCTCCTTTAATTGAGGAGGATAATCTTTAAACGAATAAATTTTCAAGCCCTCATGTATTACTTTCCCAACAGGCAGCAGTGAGCAGATACGACGTAGGTTCGACCTGTACCCTATTGGACAGTAACATGGACCCTGACCTGCAACAGAACTACGACAAGCTCAAGTCTCAGTTAGGAGAAATGTCATCAGAACTAGAGAGTCTGAAGAAGACCAGGATTGAACTCGAGGCTCAAGTAACTCAGATACAAACACAGAAATCGAACAGTGACAACGTGAGTTGAATATTCAAGTTTCTGGCTTAGAGTTGTTTGAATATTCAAGTTTCTGGCTTAGAGTTGTTTGAATATTCTTAGCTGCAGTGACCAGTGTTGTTACGGTATTGTTACCATTTTGTTTCGTATCACTGACGTCTAATGTTTCAGCTGTCGGAGCAGCTGCAGCAGGAGCACGCAGCAGCACTAGAACGTCTACGAGCCACTCTGAATCTTGAGAAAGAGGAAGCGTTGAACGTTCTGACAAGAGAAGCAGAGACAGCCAGACAGAAACGAGATGACTCTTATCGTCAGGACCTGGAGAGGAGAGAATTGGAGAGCAAAAGACAACTGGAGAAAGTTATCGGAGACATGGAGAAGAAGAGGGAGCAGGTAGGAAGAATAGTTTAGACGATAATCCCCGTTTAGGGTAAATGATCACTGGTAAATTAGAGCGGTATTAAACCGGATTACTGCGTATTTTGCGCAGTATCGGAATTCATTCACTACTATTTGCTTCTTGTTATCTGTTGCAGACTCTGTGTCTCAAGCTGTGCCTCTCAATATATCTCATTACTTGTCTAGTCACTAGACTCGGGTTCTGATTCGCTGTATGCTACTTATCCTGTATTCCTAATCTTGCAGGATTGTGCAATGATAGCCAGGAAAGTAGGTCTGGACCCCAACTCTCTTGCTACAACAGCCCCTGACTCTTCCCAACTTACTGACAGAATAGAGGCCCTACACAATCAGGCGCTACAGATACGAAACTTAGCGCTCTCTTTCTACGAAGCGAGCCATCCGCCAACTAGAGAGGTGAGGGACTATCTTTACTATCTTTACTATCAATAAATTACAGTTATAAATCAGCGGTTTTTAGTCTTTAGTATTGATCTGAGTAATGCTTGTAAGTTACCGCAGTTGTTAGCTACCACATTGCTTGCAGTAAACATAATTACTAAAAACCAGAACGTATCGGCTAAGCTTTACGGTCGTGCTATAGGTCAATACTCTTCTTTGATATTTAAGCTTTGTACTAATCGCTCCTCGTTTTCTCCAGGCGTCTGTGCAAGCGATTGTTAAGATGTTCAAATGCTCTACTCAGACCCCAGATGTCGACATAACGCCCCCACCAAAATCCAGTGAATCTCTACACGACTTTATCAAGGTGTGTTGTCAACTTTTCTAGAATCTCGGACAGGGCATTGCCATTTTGTGCTCTAGAAATCAGCATCAGTGTTTCGACCAGCATTAAATTGAGGACGCCTTGTGGCTGGTTATCTTAGTCCTGACAATGATGCGACCTCTTGACAGGTGTTTAAAGAAGAGCACGAGAAGCAGACGGAGGTTTTGTTAAAGCAGCTGAGGACGGACGAGAAACCAGTCTCCCCCTGTGAGGATGTGCCTCAACTTAAAGAAGAAATTAAGGTTAGCCTGGATATACTTTCTTTATTGGAATGATATCCTTATAAGTCAGTGATTTTATAAGATCTTGGGGGAACCCTCGATATATAACGTCACGATTACCATGGTAACCAAGTACGTCACCATTACCTGACGTAAGTATTGTAGAGTCAGAATTGCATTCTTTCATTACCATCTCGGTCATTGTATTGTACTGTTTCAAAAGAGTCTGGGTATAATTTATTACGGTAAGAATAGAAGTCAAGTGTCAGTTTAGAGTTGTGACATATGCACTCATTCACTATCTTCAAGCTAAATATAGATTGTACACTCATTATATCCAGTTCCACACACCTGTTGACTGTTCACATTTCCATGGTAACCAGGCGGGTCAGATAATCAGTTGACGACCTCATAACTCTGTCATTTACAATCCAATAATCCCTTAAATAGTCATCTTCCTCGCAGAGTCTCATTATTTGAAAACGCCTGGCATATTGCTGTTCATTGTGTATATCTGGACAATTGAGTCGAACCTTTTAACGATTCCCTATTAAACTGCAGGAACGCGCGAATATTGTGTAATTACAGTCTGCAGACTGTCTCACCAACCATTCTGTTAAAAACAAATTGCTACTTACCATTTCATGGTGCTGCCAGCTGGCGTCTCCCTTTACTTTGCTTTTAATTTGAACCGCTCAATTCTGGGCTATTCCAGGACATGTATTTAAAGTGACATTACTACGTTAAAATGAGCGGCGCTCTATGCTCTGATATTGGAGTATAAGCAGTATAAGCAGTTTCCTGTTTCACTGTAATATTGGGCCCGTGCCGGCTAAGATAATGAGCCCGTAGTTGGTTATGTTGCTAGGCAACATCAGATGGGGTGCTCTGTTACTTGGCGCTTTTGTTGTTGTGACGATGCTGCCTGGGGCACTTTTGTTTTAAAGAGTGAACAAGCCTTTAGTTTGTATATAGCCCTCGAGTCTTGAGTCTGTCCTTGCTTTTATCTTCGTGCAATATTTTAACCACGCCTTACCTATATTAGCGTCTAACGAGATTCATTTGTATCTGCAATTTAGTAAAAGTGTCTTTTAGTAAACTCCCTCTGCGTTTTATTCCGCACGTTGTACTAATATATCAGTACATCTGAAGGCTATTTAGTATTTATAGCCTACAGAAAGTCATTACAAACAAGTCTCCAATATCAAATGTCATTTTACGTACCGTGCCCCACGTGTAGTGTTATGGCCACCAGAAATTCGTTTGTTGAACGTTGGCTGGGAAGTGATTCCTGTTCTCCTCACTCCTTTTCCTCTGACTCGACCACGTGCTACTCAGACTTTGACAGGAAGGTGGAACATGACTTCCAGGTGCAGTAGTGTTCAGTAATTTATCTCACCTCATCCTCGTTATTTCTGTTATCAATTATCAATTTCCTGTTTGGCAATACACTCGCTAAGGTAATAGTTCATAAATTTGCAATCTTTCAGAGGTTGAGATTGTCATTAGAAACATACACGACACGATGCGCGATGTTGGAACACAACAGCAGAATTCTCAAGGACCGGAATACCGGACTTGAGAACGACATGATCGCAAGTGCAGCTCAGCACAATAGTTTCCTTATGGCTGACGAGGATTCACAGCTCTACAATTCGCACGCCCAAAGACCCGAGCCGCGCGACCTTCGCAAGCGATTGGCTGCGTGCCAGAGTGAGATTGGAAAACTTCAAGACAATGTTTCAGAATATCAGGTAAACTTTTAGAGAGAAAAATGTATTTTAGAACCATTTGAATGAGGTATGCAGTTGAAATTCAACACCTTGAGTACAAGTATTATCGCTAGTAATTATGTATGTATTATCTTTTGGTTGTTTTTCTGAAAGTCGATCATTTACCTTCTGTTGTCGTTTCTTATTGTGAAACTTGTCAGGAAGCCATAGAGCATCTTGAGACCGAATTAGATCGAGAAATAGAGGAGAGAAAGCGGGCAGAAAAACGAATGAGGTCTGCTGAGTCGGCTGTTATCGAAATAAAGAACGACGACATAATGGCTCGGGATTCTAAGGTATTGTTTCTTCATTTCATTTCATTCGACTCTTTAATTGTAAGGACGATGCATTATTGATGCCTTATAATCATTTTCTGCATAAAATGTCTGATGTTTGTTTAGTGTGCAACCACAATATAATATATTTATTTTCAGGACGACACGTTAAATACGGATCTAAATCAAGCGAAAGAAAGTTGTCGTCTACTGGAGACGGAGAACAAAAAACTGAAAACCGCTAATGGGAAATTGCGGAACTTGAATAATACTCTGATGGAATCAAACAAGCAGCTGAAACATGCTGATAACGAAAACTACGTTTTAAATGTTAGCAGCAAGTCGAGTAATCTGATACACGAGATAGATAACTTGAAGGAGGTTGAGGATCTCCGGATGGAATTGACGAGCAAAGAAACAGATCTGGCGCGAAAAGAAAACAGGATCAGTTTGTTAGAGAGTGAAATAGACACAAAAAGCAGCATGATTAAAGCTCAGAAGGATGAGATGGAGTCAAAGGATAAGGTTATCAGAATGATAAAATCGGAGCTGTCAGCACAGCAGCTAGACATAGCTGAATTGAAAGCAATGTTAGAAATAGAGCGAACTAGGGGCGAGGAACTCGAGAGACGACTCAAATCGTCTGATCTCCGGCAGCTGGACGATTCTTCTGCTAGGGACGAGTTGAAACGTTTAAGGTCCGAAAATTCGGAGTTGTTAAAAGAGTACGGACCTGGATCTCCAAACTCCAGATCTCGAGTCACCAAGGCATATCTTAAGTTTTTAAGAGCAGAGAGTTACAGGAAGGCCCTTGTTTTCCAGAAGCAATACTTGTTGAATTTGTTATCCAAAGCAAAAGCAGTAGAGAATGCTGCTTTGTCAATACTTGAGATAAAGCAAGGTTTGTCCTAAATATGTTTTGTATTTCTCACTTTAGGAAATAGTTATCCTCTATCTATATTAGAAAATACAAAATATGTTCACGTTGGTCAAAATCGACACTTTTCATAGATAGAAATTAACATGATTGTCAATACTACAGGGGAGGTATCTTGGCACCTATACTCATATACACGTCAATGCATACATTTATTTCAAAGACTAAGTGATGTTAATTGTTATCCTTGCCTTATTTTCAGATGATTCCAAGAAGACAAAGCCGAGGTTTAAACATGCTGTATTTCTGGTGATCGCCTCAATTCGCATGAGGAACTTGGTGGTGAAATGGAGAAAAGTTAGGGAATCGTTAGAAGAAAAACAGAGAAGAAAGCAGACCCCGTCAACTTGTCACAGCTCTCAATTAACAGAGCACAGAGCATTGACATCTCAAAACGATATCAGACCGCCAGTGTTCGACAAGTCACCTTCCCCAGTTCCCAAGATAAGTAGCACAACCTCCCTTCACTCGGGATACCCTAAGTGGGACTCCTCCAGACCGCTCAGTCCTCCATCACATCCCAGAGACGGCCTCTCCAACAGGGTGTACGGATCACCCTCTCCCGATCCCTCCCTGTCACGCCTCGATCAGCAACTTGCTAGACTCCGACAAACCATCAACACTCGCGCTGCCTACAACGAGCAGAAAAATGACCGATCACGCGTGAGTGATCACGCATCTCCGTTAGCACGCGTGAGCGATCACGCATCTCCGTCAGCACGCGTGAGCGACCACGCAACTCCTTTATCACGCGGTAGGAACGAGCGCGTTACGCCTGAACGAGACAGCGGCGTCTGCAAGCCAGTTCAAGGCGAAGACGACAGCTCTGGGACTCTGTCAGACATTTCAAACTATATCTCTCGGTTAGAGGCAGTTCAGTCTAGATTGACTGATCTGAAACTCTCCTCTTATAAAATATATGACACAAATAAATCACTTACGTAGCGGTAGCATTACGTATTTACGCGTACATGTTGCATTGGTGTATTTCGCTTTTTGGGACATTTTCTGTGGATTCTAAGGCAAAATCGATATGGTCTTATAATCCAGGCATAAAGTTTTCGATAATTCAGAAAATTAAACGTGTCCTATTTTACTAAGTCTGGTTATGATCCTTAAAGATCACAATATTAATACCGTAACAGAATAATTGCTGAGGCGAAGTTTTAATTTGAGGCTATAATTTTAGATAACTGCATTGCTTTTGTAAATATTTCAGTACTATTTCGTGTGACTGACTACATAACAATGGTGCACCATTGTCGCATTTGACTCTCAAGAAGTTCTAAACATGGAACTGCATACTGGAGTTTGTTAATTATTGAATTATTTATGCGATATATTTACCTTTGTCATTCTCCGTCTTCATGATCATTAATAATATGAATATAATCATTTGTTATTCACTGCAATTTCATGGGTTTTTATGGTTTACAAACAATAGAAATCGGAACTGTACAAGAAAAAATACAAGAAAGCGTTGGCTGTTAGAGGGCTGTTACCTAACAGCTGGCTTTTTGCTGTGTTAATTTACAAGGCCTCGTCCAGTGACCAGTTCTTGAGTCCTCGTCCAGTGACAAGTCCTCGTCCAGTGACAAGTCCTCGTCCAGTGACCAGTCTTCACAATTCTATAAGGTTTCGTGCCCTGATCAATATTGATTAAAAAGCGCTCCAGCACATACGATCGCTAAAATGCCTGTCCGTAACATCCTAACTGACAAGGTAAGTTGATGAAATTGACCATTAGAAAGCTTAACAAAACGAAAAGTTGTATTTTCAAAATCCTGTCCCATTTTCAAATATGAAAATTTCTGAACACAAATTTGACAGATTGGATGAACTTTTTGCCCAGAAACCAATTAGTAAGTTAATTGATGATGATATGAAACCAAATTGAGGTACTGGGAGTCAAAATCCCGAATAAAATTGCAAAATCATTTTGTCCCAATCTCTGTCCCGTTTTCAGTTTTTGTTACCTGGGGACCCCAGGCTATTATGTTCATTAACATAGAATAGAGATTAGGTTGGAGGACTTCGCCGCTTCGACGCGCCGCGCAAACTAGCATTCTTGCTTCGCAAACTAGCATTCTTGCCTCGTCGACAATCGTTGCTCTGCTTCGCAGAGCAACGATCTCGACGGATTGACATCGTCAATCAAAGATTACAGATTAGCAATAAGGCGGAATGACAGGCTGAGCGCGGCCCAGTAAAGTTTTTGAAGATGAAATTTCCAAGACCGAAATTTTACAGTTTTGACTGATTTTTCAGATCACCCGTAACCAATAAGTAAGTCAACTATAAATGCCAAATGACACGATTAAGGTGCTGGAAGTTTGATTTTGGTCGGAGGAAGCCCAAAGCAGAAAGCTTAACAAAACGAAAAGTTGTATTTTCAAAAACCTGTCCCATTTTCAAATATGTAATTACAAGACCGTCGACGAGTCCAACTCGGTGCGCGTCCTGGTAGGTTATAAACCTACAAACACGTATTGGAGGACTTCGCTTGACGGATGTTACTCGTTTAAATTTCTTCGAAGTAGCGCGCGCCGCTTTCTTCTCGAAATTAAGCCCGATGGCACGTGCTACGAAGTAGCGCGCACCGGGCCAAATCATTAACATTGGTTAAGGACTTCGCCCGTTCGCCTCGACGCGCCGCGCAAACTCTCATTTTTGCTAGTACTAGCATAGCAACGATCTGGAAGGGTTGACACCGTCAATCAAAAGCACATAGTGAGGTGAAAACTTGATTTTTATTCATACGAAAAAATTATTTAAATTATTTCAAAAGCCCTAATAAATTGTAAATTCTTTCAAAACTAATGCATAATGCCGTTACTCTTATGTAATGGTTTCATAAACGTCTGCAATACTTGCTACTTCATGTGTTAATTCTAGACTGGGATAAAATCTTTCTGCTTGATCCAGTGAATCATTCACATAAGTGTCTTCATTTTCCCACCAAACGTCATATTCTGAATCGAGGACACAATTAAGATGATTGAGTTTTGCAATCCTATGATATTTTTTAGCTTCATGGTCCGATTCGTATTCTTCTGAATTAGCATACACAGTTTGTTCTCTTGCTAACTTTTGTTTAGACAGCTCCACCGCTGACTTTTTATAAAGTTCACTCGCTGCATCCCAAGTTTCGTAAACTGAACTAGTAGAATAACACGATTGCAGCTCTGGTTCCTCGAGTTGCAAGGTAATTTTAGGTATTGGTGGCAATTTTGACAAGAAGATTGATGAAATCATTTCTTCGTTGTCTATTTTTACAACGGATGTTCTCGTGTCAGGAATCATGCCATAGCAATCTTCATACAATATGTTCTCTTCATCTTTAAATTGTATCTTCCGCCTTAGCAGGGTCAATGATTCCTGTGATATACTGGTACCGGAGGCTTGAATGACATTTTCTGTCTTACGACATCTTTTCCAGAGATAATATCCAACCAATGCCAGTACTGACAATCCTATTACCGTACAGACGATGGGTAAGATAGGAGATATACTGTTCTTACCTGTAATGTAGAAGAGTTTTTAAAACTGAATTAGAAATTAGCTTAATAATTTGTGGTTACCACCATTTGACGAGTTATTGCAATCAATCGTAATTGAACATTTGTCACCAGAATTAGAAGTGGTTTAGTTTCAGGATTTATCCTTGTCTGCCTGGTATTCTACATGCAAAATAGAAAGCACGGTTAATGTTAAAAATTTGTTGCCCCTTCCCATACTGTATTTATCGCACATCAATTACAAAAAAGGAAGCTGAATTACTTCAAAAATGTCCTGTAAATCTTTACTCATCTCGATATTTGAAGAAAAATACTTAATGTTCCATTGATTTGAAGGTAAGTCAGGGTTTGCGGTAAATCGGGGTTTGCAGTAAATCGGGGTTTGCAGTAAATCGGAGTTTGCAGTAAATCGGGGTTTGCAGTAAATCGGGGCATGGTAAATCGGGGTTTTACTGTACAATAAAATATGCCATAAGTATAAAAAAGATATTTGAAGAAAAATACTTAATGTTCCATTGATTTGAAGGTAAGTCAGGGTTTGCGGTAAATCGGGGTTTGCAGTAAATCGGAGTTTGCAGTAAATCGGAGTTTGCAGTAAATCGGGGTTTGCAGTAAATCGGGGCATGGTAAATCGGGGTTTTACTGTACAATAAAATATGCCATAAGTATAAAAAAGTAAATATGCGCACATTTAGCACATCATCATCAATTGTCAATCTACTCCATGCTGTATTACCTTGAGCCATTGTTACAGTTGAACTTCTTGCAACATATCCGTCTCGAAAAGTAAATAAGCACACAAAAACATTCGGCACATCATCATCAATTGTCAATGTAGTCCATGCTGTATTACCGTAGTTAACATCTGCTGTGAAGGTAACATCTTTGATATTATGTTAATTTGAAATGTTTTTTCAAAGGAATATGTGTTTAATAAAATATCCCATTGATGAGAAATATCATAAACAAAACATAGTGTTTAACAGAAGGTTTCAAGATTATTTCCTGTATCATACCTATGCTAAGATCCTTTATTTCGTTGGCATTAACAAATGAGCCATCTGACATCTGTTTTTCCCATCCAATGTAATCAGGGTAAGATGTTGAATTTGCCAAACTACAGTTCAGAATCTGCTTGTTATCTTTACCAATTTTTTCATCTAGTCGAATTTCTGTAAAGGATTTAATACAGTCAAATCTCTATATATATACAGTGCCTCTCTATACCCTGAACAGGTACCTGAATATACTGGGCCTTTTCTATCCCCCCAAAATTTAAGTCAATTAGCTCGTTTTGTGCAAGAAATGTGATTTATCATAGCTTACATTTCATTTGATGATGATTTGAGTGTATATTCCATCACAATACTACACAAAACGTGCATATAAGGTCCTAACGGGGTGAATGGGAAGGTTATTTGAAAGGCTACAGATGTGGATTGGGATCATGTGAACCTCTCTATACCCGGGTTATCTATAATGTGCACTTTTCGTTTTATCGAAAGGACCAGTATATAATAGAGGTTTCAATGTAATTCTAAAAAACCAAAAAGTCCAAAATAAACGTTTTGTAGAGTAAATCATCTAATCGTGATTAAAATAACATATTGTATGGAGTATGTTCTTATGCCAATTTATTGGTTAGTTACATCAACATCACCTATCACATCTAGTTTTACAGGATTCTTCATAATCCCAGAATCTCCAAAGTCAAATACACAATAGTAGGTACCATCATCTGATGGACCAACTTTTCCAATGGTATAAACAGTCGATATATTATCTGGTCTTAAAGCAATTTCCTGACAGTTAATTGTGTTATAATTTGATTTCTATAGGTTTATACTATGTCAAGAGGTTACACAACTTTTATAGAATTGTCTTAATTTTAGCTATGATTTTGGTAAACAAAATCCAATAATAGTGCATATTAATTTAATAGAAAGCTGGTGTGCAGTACAGTGTCATTAATCTGTTTATCCTTTGTTGTCCAATATGCTGACTTCAAGACAAGGTTCCCCGGAACAACTCTGCAAGAAAGATTTACTCCACTGCCTGTTTTTGCCACTATGTCTTTAGAACTAATAGCTGGAAAATATATTCAAAGTTTCAAATTTACACTGATAAAGTTAACTTTTATTGTTGTTAATTTCAGTGGCGAATTCAGAAACCAAATTGATCCAGCCTCCTATCCAGAGATATCTTTTCTTGTCAGCAATTTTTGATTTATTCTATTTTACACTTAATTTCATTAGCAACAGCCGAAATTCTGTTATTAGTTGACATCCATTGTTTCCTAGTATATAATAATCAAAAGCTTTGTCTTTGTTACAAACCTAATTTCTTCAGCGTATGTGTTGATTTCAGTGAATAACCGGAAATATTGTACGCCACTAAGAATGTTTTGTTGCTTGTTACGTTCCCCATCATCATCAATTCTGTCGTTTCTTTGATGTGCGACACAGATATTCTGTTCAAAATTCCAACAGTATTTTGGGGCTTTGTCTCTAAACCTAATATGGAATGCAGTTTTACTTCCTTTTAGTTTATCTAGCACATGAACGGTATGGTTTTTGAAAAATATCAGTTCTATGACGCACTGCAAGCCGACATTCAGACCATAATATTCAAAGACTAATATTTTAATCGTTTTAATTTTCAATAATTACTTTTCAGTGAGCGTGTTTTCGATTCTGAAGCAGTTTTGTCAGTCAGGCGAACAAAGCAGTAGCTGGGTCTCAGTGACTTTAGCACAGTATTGGCATTCCCACCAACTGCTTTACCTTGACTATTCTGCCACTCAGTTGAGGCAATCTCAATACTGTTGTCATTAATCAATACCTCACATCTTACCATCGTAGTAGGGTTTATTCCAGAACATGATATCCCTGTTA